TCATCATTAATTCTACAGCAAAAAAATTAAAGCTACAGCCACAACCAATCAGGCCCTATATCGTTCTAGAAATGAATTTTCTTTTTGTATCGAATCAACAGCGAATCAAATTGACCGTAACTCTCTATGAAGGTTCCAAATGGAACATGATCCAACATATATTATACGTTATGGATTTGTAAGAAATAAACAAAACAAACTATATGTACATGACTTCTGGAAGGATTTTAAGTGGTTTTATAATATTGTTTGCATTGCATTTGCATTTATATTCCCGTAACGAAATCCACATTATTGATTGGACATAAATTACAATTCTATGAACTTGAACTGTAATGTGAGCTCCTAGAAAATATAAACATCAAACCACTATCCCACCAAACTGATGGGTAAAACTAAAAATACTAGTTCAATGTATCACCCAAATTTAGTATATCCAAATTAACATAAGAGTTTTGAAAACTTCTGCAAATTACTAAAACTATAACGCGATTTTTATAGTTAGAAATGGTTACAAAAGAAAATTTATATCAAAACATAAATTATTTGATGGAATGAATGATTTAATCTCTTTAGATTCGTTGTTGACATTGTCAGTGTCATATTTACAACTTTATTTCTGAACACACACAAAAAAAAGAGCAAATACGGAAGCAGAATATAAATAGAGAGAGTCGGTGGGAAGAAAACAAGATCGTCGTCACACAAAGCTTCTCTGATTTCTTTCCCACCTTATTTCTCTCCATTTCTCAACTCCTTCTTCTTCTTCCTCTTCCTTTTTTTCTTGCACACACACGACTCTGATTCTGATTTCGTAATTCGTAATTGGTTTAATCAATGGCGGTGGCTCAGACCGTGAATTATTGGTTGACGGAGCATCCAAAGATCGTCAACTTCCGATGGAGCCCAACCCAATCATACGCCTCCACCTGGTCATTCCTCGTCACCGCCGTCTCATCTTACGTCATCGCCGCCGTCACTCTCCACCTCCTCCTCACAATCATCCTCCGACGCCGTCGCGGCCTCTCCCTCGGCCCAATCCCGGCCTTGCACAGCTTGACCATGTCCTTAATCTCCGCCGTTATCTTCGTCGGAATCCTCCTCTCCGCCGCCGCGGAGATCCGAGACACGCGCTGGCTATGGCGACGCACGCGCACGACGGCTCTCCAGTGGTTCCTCTGTTTTCCCGTGGGCACACGCGCCTCGGGGCGCGTGTTCTTCTGGTCGTACGCGTTTTACCTCTCTCGATACCTTCACTTGCTCCGCACCTTCTTCTCGGTGATACGACGTCGTAAGCTCAGCTTCTTCCAGCTCATCAACCAGTCTTCTCTCCTCTGTATCTCATTCCTCTGGCTCGAATTCTCCCAATCATTCCAGGTACTTAACCGGTTCGGTTTACTACAATTGAAACCGAATTTCTAATTGGACCGTCGGTGTAATGGTTTTGCTTTTTGCAGGTTGTGGCGATACTATTGACGACCGTTTCGTATGCCGTCGTGTACGGTTACAGATTCTGGACGGCGATTGGGTTACGTGGCGCGTGTTTTCCGTTCGTCGTTAACTGTCAAGCCGTTCTGTTGGGGTGTTTGACGGTGTGCCACGTAGGCGTTCTCTGCATGCACATGGTCAAACGCGGCGGTTGTAACGGTATCGGAGCTTGGCTGTTTAACTCCGTTCTAAACGCCGTTATCTCTTTGCTCTACTTGAAGTTTTATGTCAAGACGCGTTCGCGTTCAATGGCGACAGCGGTTAAGCCAACATAAATGATAATTTATTGTGCATAGTTTTTGTATTATTGTGTATTGATATGGTAAAATATCATCCGGAAGAAAAAATCTAGTCCATGGAAAGATTTTTTCTTTGCTGTTGTATGATTAGAGATAAATTTTAGTTCAGAGTAGAATATAAAAATGTGTATTATAATTGTAAAAATCCGTAATTGTAGTTGATCGGACACCAAAGTATAGTACTTACTATATACTGTTTTGGTTACTAATATAATAATTGAGCTACTTTCACATTTTCAAGGTTCGTCTCTTTTCTCAGGTTGCAAGGAAACAAAAGTCAGGTAGCTTTGGGATATGATTCGTTTCTTTTTGAAGTCTAATCAAGAAAAGAAATCCAATATATAGATTACTTTAAAGTATATAGTACTTTTTTATGAATGAAGTCCCTGAGAAAAGACAAAACAGGATCTGCACTATACAACTACAACATCTTAAAAAGGTTCTGGACGATATCAATCTCCGGTGTCCACTTGTTTCCGGTCAATCAGAACACCGTCGTCCCAAGTTTCAGAGTATCTGTAGAGACAAAGCCATGAACAGTTAGTTATAAAATAAAAGAGGCTAAGAAGCTTGAGATTGCTCTGTTTCTAGTAAGGATACAGAGAAGAAGAGTTTCAAAAGGTCACTGACCTTGTTCCATCAACAGCTATACAGAGGAACTGCCCATGTCTCCATCCATCTTTGAAATGTCCAAAGAATATCTCACCGGACTTTGAATAAAACCTGCCTTCGCCGCTGGCTTTTCCTTTCCAGAAATTTGCAAACCAGCGATCACCTTTGTGGAAGTAAAACCAGCCCTATAAGAAAGGAAACCAAATATGGTCTTGTCTGATTAGAAGATCTTTTATGTCAGAACAGTAAGTAACCAGTTTGTGGACAAACGTAGTCTCAGTAAGCTAATCCAAATTCAAAAGATTTAAAGACTGTTTTTACCTTTCCGTGTATTAAATCTTCTCTCCATGTGCCTTGGAACACGTCTCCATTCTTGAAGTAGAATGTTCCGAGACCAGATCTTTTACCGTTGTGCCACGTTCCATCATATATGCTTCCATCTCCAAGTACCAAACGACCCTGGTGAGAAAATTTCAGCCATTAGTACTTTGGGATTCAACTACAAAGCCTGTCTCATTCGTAAGACAAGGAGCCATTACTGTATTGGATTACCTTTCCTTCTGGAAGGCCTCCTTGGCATCTTCCCTTGAACAGTCCTCCTCTGTACTGCATCTCTAGAATAGGACTCCATCTTTTTGATGAATCTCGTTCAGCTTCCTAAGCAACAAACAATGAAAATGGAAAATTTTGTCAATTGACATTGACTTGGACGATGTTTAACAAGTTATCTAGTCTCTGGAAATGTAACAGATGTACAATGCTTGTAAGAGAATGATTTTATATCTCAACCTTATAGACTGCTACATTGCTACTTACCAGCATAGACGCTGCTCGAGCGGATAGATTTCTTTGCTTAGCAAAATCAGCATATTTCTCCGATAGCAGAGGAGATGCAGTGTCACTAGAGTCTTTTGTCGAGTTGAAAAATGATTCATCTTTGGAATCAGCCTTCCTGGAGAGTTGACCGGCGACACTGAGACTACTGTTTAAATTCTTGGAAGGTCTCACACCAACAGGAAGGCTGACAACACCCAGGCTAAGCACTGTGGTGTCTCCAGAATCAGCTGACCAATTTTGTTCAATCTGATATCCTAGATCCACACTCCAGTTAGCAATTGGCTCCCTCTGGATAGCACCATAATCTGCAAAAAACGATTGGTGTATTCACTACTTCAGCATCCTATAATAAACTAATAAAGAAGCAAGAAGGAATCGTTGTCTTTAGATTTTGTACCTTCTATATTTTCGTCTCCAAGATCCAGTGGACTGTTTCTGGATGGTCCACCGTTCTCAGAAACTTCCAGGGGTTCCTCAGAGTCAATTACAAATCCTTCAACACTCTGATTGGAAATTCGTACGTCAGTAGAGTCTGGTGGATCTTTCAATGCAGCTAGCGCATCTCCAAGTACACTTTTTGTTTCATTTTGGAGTTGTGATCGATATCTCTTGAAGACATTTTTGACAAAAGGAAAAAGACCAGAGAAAATGTTGCCTTTGCTAGAAGCTTCCTCTTCTGAACAGCTGTGATGACAGATGAGCCTTGGATTAATGCTTACTATTGGTCAGTAAAAATAAAATTTGAGCTAAATATAAATACTCCACCTTAGAATAAAGAAAGTTGTGACGAGGACTTTAGGCTCCAGATCAGGTTCATGAACAGTAGTTACTATGATATCTCCAGTGTACTCCATTGTTTGACGAAAAGTACGGAGAATTGTTTTTACATCCTTCTTCTGAAGCGCTACCGAACTAGCAACAATGCATATAATAGCGTTTAAATCCTGCATAATGGAAAAAGGGAGGTAACGTAAATACAATTACTTGGGGAACCTAATCAGACAATGGTTTCAAGGAGCGTATCTTTTCAAGCAGAAATGCTAAATTACACACAATCGAAAATTTCAAAGATCCTTGTTCTTTCTGGAGACGCAGGGGATTGATTCCATCAGTTTCTAAGGGTTTCTTAAGAGGGCAAGGAAAAATAAATCAAACCGAGAAACTCTTTAAGAGATTAGACATACCTTTATACCAGGGCGAAAGAAAGGGCAGTCGTATATAGCTCGTAAAATAGAAGTCTTAAGGTTGTGACCAACTCCAAAACCAACCTTTGCCTCTTTGTAGCTTTCTAGAATCTGGACATAAGAGAGCCAAATGACTGAATAGTTACAACTCTATGATATGATTGAACCACTAAAGACAAAATCACTTTAATTCACAACTGGAAAATAGTTCCCTGCGTTAAGGCTTGAATGTAAGAAGCCATTAAAATAAGATGGCTGACTATACCATAAAGAAAGAAAAAAATGAAATCTCAAGAACCAGTAAGACTATGAAGATCTTTGTCATTAAATCCCAAAAGAAAAACTTCCAAGAAACTTACTGTTGTAACTTCTGAACCTTCAAGTTCTTTAAGATCTTTATGCATCACATCGATGAAGTTTCCATGCATCCCCTGGATATAACCGTATATGAAAATGACAATAAGTTTCCATGCACCCCCTGGGTATAACCGTATATGAAAATGACAATAATTTTGAGCATATTATGAGAGACAAAAGTACGCTTCCACTTACACTTATCAGAGCGGAGGCTGCATTTATTGCCATCGAAACAGCATTGTTTGCATTTCTCAGCGCCTCGTCCAAAGTTACCAAATCCTTCTGTAGTAAAATCTCTATGTCGATATCTAAAAAGCCCAAAAATAAAGTCAGTTCATGGCCAGCAGAGCTACAAGAACAAAAAGTAGCCGTCTCAGGGAAATCTTTCATACTGCTAATAGAACGTACCTATACAAAAACTAGTGTGCTGCTGCAGTTTTTTAGCCAATTCATTAACCTGCACACAACTGGGAAATTAAAAAAAGAGAAGAGAAAACAAAAAAGCTCCAAGTAGAGATAGTAAATGCAGATAAAATCAAATAAACTTCAGAGGCAACACAAAACTACCTCTTCTAGACGCTTTCTCCCTTCAAAGCTGAAAGGCTTTAATAACACAGCAACAGCTAAGCTACCCTCAGATCTTACTGCACTAAGAATATTAATAGCTTCAACCTGGTCAGAACCATATCCAGCACTTGCCACCTGGTAAGAGGAACCGTTTAATCAGGATCAGATGCACATCTCAATAAGAGCCTAGGCAAATCTAGGAAGTTAATGATCAATTCCACACTCTGTATCTTGTTCAGTTATAGAATCCTACAAGTAATTCTACTCAAAGCACGAAAGTTTTATGCAGCATACAAACAATGATAGGCAAGAAAAGTACAAACAAGGATGAAGGCCCTGGGACGTGACTGTATCAGCTCAGCTGGATTCATGGTCATTGATACATTATCTGCAAACATATATAGAGAAGTTAAAAGGTAAGAAAGATAGCATATCCAACTAAAATCCCCTTTGATTGAATAGCAACGATGCTAAAGTATCCAAATTTCAAATCTCTGACACAAAGGAAAGAAATAGATTATGGACCTTCGTGATTGAGCCTCTGCTGTAACACTAAACCTCCAGAGCTCTCCCTGCTAATACTCCTGGAAAAGAGAGAGTTTCCGTTAGATTTGGTAACTTTCATGAATACACATATCATACATCATCCATTCAAAGCCAAGCTTCATGAGTACGAAGAAAAATCGAGCATTTACCAAAATCTGAGAGGAAGAGAAGGAAAAGGAGTATCCAAGCATGAATCCATGATAGTCTCCTTGCGACTACCGATAACAACGACCTCGATGAACTCAGACCCATCTCCAGCTCCAAGCTCCTCACTCTCGCACGTCTCAATCGGAGCTGAATCCCTCACCAAGCACATCACGCAAACCCGACGCGCCTTTCGACCGGAGAATTTCAATCGCGCTGTAGCGCCAATGGACGAAAACGGAATGCCCAAAGTAGGAACGAGAGCTAAACGAGATAGAAATGGTACTCGGAGAGTGGAGAAAACGGGAAGCTCCATAGAAATCGGCATTGCTTCACTTAGAATGCAAAAGAAATTGGATCACTCAAGAGTGATAGATGATGAAATTCGAACTAAGGAGAAGATCGGAGCAGAGAGGCATGTCTGAAGCTGTCCCGATAATTCTGAAGAGGAGAAGCAGAGGCGACGAAGGAGGAAAATATCCGCCGGAAACCATTAATTGGTTAATTGTGAATAAAACCTCATACTTTACTACTTATTTCTGTTCTAATCCCATACTATGTTTTATTGCATCTGTACCCTTCTAATGTAAGTTGACGAATCGGTGGCGAATATTACTTCTGAACCGATCCAATCACGTCCTCATCTGTACCCTTCTACTGTCACTTTTAATAGAGTTTACTTTTGGTCAATGGTATCTTCCCCTTGTAATTTAATGATTTATTACCATATACAGTATAAAAAGAACACACATCTCTAGTGTACTAAAATAATGAGTTCAATGTATTTAGGAGATGAAACAATTCTTTACTAACCACTAGTGAAGATAATTTTTGGAATTACAATACGATTGTCACATACAATAATGAAAAGCATGTGGTCGCCATATAATTTGTATAAAAACACTTAGATCCATAATTTAGAACATCAATTTTAGATTTAGATCCAGCTGAATAAGAAAGAGACAGCGTGTTAAATTGAGCATGAAAATCATGAAAGAGTGTGAAATTTCCTTTTCGTTTTTGGTACAACTAATCATACTTAGTGAGAAAATGTTGTTTTTAATTATTAATCAAGAGGTTGCTTCACGTTAGAGTTTCGAAGTGAAACAAACGCCAGGAGAATTTTCATTTATTATCAATCGGGTCGCAAAAGTGTCATCTTTCGGAGAATTGTCTCCGCGGCGGCTTTGACCATTTCGCATTACCGCCAATCAGATTTCTAAATCACTATACACCCTCCCGTCTCTGATCATTTCCACCGTAGATCCGACCCGGAACCGGAACGGATCCTTCTCTGTAACTTCTTCGTTTGAGAAGAAGATTCGCAATTCCTCTGTTCCATATAAACGTTACTTTATCCTCTCTTCCTCTTCCACCAACTCTGTTTCCGCTCTGGCGCTCTCTCCCTACCTTCTCCAGGTACTTTTTCGCTCTCTCTCTTCCTCGTCGTGTTCCTCGTGCTCTCTCTCTCTCTCTCTGTAGATTTCGCTTTTGCGTAATTTCGAAATACGTGAGAAGTGTTTTCTCTTTGCTCTGTCTCTGAATCTTAATTTCACGTGGGATCTGAATTTTGGTTTTGCGGTATTTACAAGTCTTTCCCAATTTGGGATTGTTTTTTTCCCGTTGTTTCTCCGTCTTCGTTTTGGAGCACTCATGCTTATAGTCGAATTCAATTGGATTCGCTTTTATGCTGCTATAGATTCTAAGCATGTTTCTTCATCATTTTTCGCTCGTTGATATCTCTCACTGAGCTCACAGTATCGGAATTCACTGTTGATAATTGATAATTCGAGATTATGTTCATGATTCAGATTCGAAATTCGGATTTTCTTTTTCTTCTCATATAAAATTTGATGTATTGAGTTAAGGATCTCCAAAATCTGCTCATAGTTCTTTGGAGAGAATCTGTGTAGGATCACAGCAAATTGCTTGAGCTTAGAATTGAAATTGAGGTGGCACTGAGTAGAATATTTGATTCTCATTGCAGGAGTTTGTTATTGAGGTTTAAATCTGGAAAAGATGGAAGTTTGCGAGGAACCAAATTCAGATAACTTGAAGAAGAACAAACCCTTGACTCCGATTAGGATTCTAAGGGGTGTGATGATCTTGCTGGTGTTTCTCTCCACCGCATTCATGTACCTAATCTACTTCGCGCCGATCTTCGCTCTAGCGCTACGGCTTCTGAGTGTGCACCAATCAAGGAAAGCCATCTCCTTTCTCTTCGGCCACTGGCTAGCTCTCTGGCCTTACCTCTTCGAAACGGTCAACGGAACAACCGTGGTCTTCTACGGAGACAGCGTTCCGGTTGAGAAACGCGTTTTACTCATCGCTAACCACAGGACGGAGGTTGATTGGATGTATCTCTGGAACATTGCGTTGAGGAAAGGCTGTCTTGGTTACATCAAGTACGTCCTCAAGAGCAGCTTGATGAGACTGCCTATCTTCGGCTGGGGGTTTCATGTTCTTGAGTTTATACCTGTTGAGAGGAAGCGTGAGGTTGATGAGCCTGTGATGCTTCAAATGCTCTCGAGTTTTAAAGATCCGAAAGAGCCTTTGTGGCTCGCTCTGTTCCCTGAAGGAACCGATTTCACGTACTATCTCTTGTTTCCTCTCTTTGTCTTTCTTGTTTCATAGTTTCCTGAGATCTCTCCTTGTGCTTCAGTGAAGAGAAATGCAAGAGAAGCCAAAAGTTTGCAGCTGAAGTTGGTCTTCCGCTGTTATCAAACGTACTTCTACCGAAAACAAGAGGCTTTAGCGTTTGCTTTGAAGCTCTACACAACTCTTTGGATGCAGGTATTGTATGTTCACTTGTTATCTCATTGCTTTAAAGCTCTACATAACTCTTTTAATCTTTGTTGTAATGCAGTGTATGATTTGACTATAGCATATAAGCCTCGTTGTCCATCTTTCATGGACAATGTATTTGGGACTGATCCTTCAGAAGTTCATATCCATGTTCGGAGAGTTCTTGCAAACGAGGTTCCAGCGAGCGATGAAGAGTCTTCTGCTTGGTTGATGGATTCGTTTCAGCTGAAGGACAAGCTGCTATCGGATTTCAGTGCTCAAGGGAGGTTCCCAAATCAAAGACCAGATCAAGAAGAGCTCTCTGTTTTGAAGTGCATTGCAACTTTTGGAGTGGTGATATCTTCGACGGCGTTGTTCATTTACCTGAGCTTGTATTCACATAGCTGTTTCAAAGTGTATGTTGGTTTAAGCTTCACGTATTTGTCATTTGCTACTTATTACAAGTTTCGACCTTCGTCATCTGTTGTTGGCTGTTGTATAGGTGATTCTAGTAAAGAAGCCAAAAACCATTGACTCTTTGTATATATACAATTCTTTTCTTTGCATACAAAGAAATTATATAAAGAATTTTACAGGCAGAAATTATTTCTTGGCTGCCTTTTCCATTGATAGTTCTCTGATTTTTCAATTGTGAGTGACCCTAATTAATGTATTTTCAATTAACAGTTAATAACCGAATAAATTTCTAAGACCCTAATGTATTTTCAATTGCAGGATGAACACATAAAATCCCATAAGATTGATCCTAAAGAATTTTCACAGTAGCTCGCGATTGTTAAAAGATTGTTGTATTCAGTGGTTAGGGTACTTAAAACAGTATAAGAAAGATTTTATGGATCTCTATAGAGATAACTTCTTTCAAGAGGAAATCGGCTCGTGGGATAATGCTCTTAAAAGTGTAGATTCAAACGAGTTAGTTATGTATTTATGTTTGATCTTTTTTTCAATATTAACAAATATGTGGTTAATTTATTATTCTATGTAGAAAATTATAACCATAACGCATACGGGTTTACAAGTTCTATGGCCTTATCTTTTTGGCCAAATAACCTTAGACACGAAGATAATACTTACACGAACCGTTGCTGAGAAAGTACACAAAATATTCGAAATTTATCAACCACTGGTGGACGCCGTTGTTATCAAGTGTTGGAAGCAAATTCGTTTTGCATATTGGAAATTAAAAAAGGTATGATCAAAGATTTATAAGCCTGGTCAAAATCAATTTTTTTTTAATTTGCCCGTTTTGCTAAACTAATTTTTGTTTGTGCCCCTTTTTCCATACTAATATTTTTTCTTTTCTAATAAACCCCAATGCATCGCAACTTTTGTACCCTTTCCTAAGCTGTCCTCTTGATCATTGTGCCTTTTTCGGTCAAAAACTACATTTACTTGCAATGTTTAATCCGCAGCAAAATGTTAGTGAACTATAAGTATAACATAAGCAAATTATAAGTAAATTTTAAGCAAAATATATGTGAACTTACTTATCATGTTCTTTTCACCATTATTATTACTCATGAATCTGTAACAATGACCCACTTGTTATCTTTTAACCGTCAAGTCGAAAAGGCTTTTTCTTTTCTTGTAAACATCTAACTCAGTTTATTAATTTGTAAAAAGGATGATATAGAAATTTAATTAGCCATTTCGGCGGTTTAAAAAAAGCGTGAGCTTTCTTTAACAAAACTGTTGCTTCCTCGATTAAGATGTCTCAAAGACGCATTGTGGGAGATTTACCACATTGATTACTCTGCCAAGTTTTTGCTTGTTAATTAGATTTTCTCATTAACACCTTCGGGTCCATTTATACAACTTTAAGGACATGAAATTAGCTGAAAATCTGAAAATCTCTGCTTGAAGAGCTCAAATAATTCGCTTTACTTTCGCACATCAAGACAAGAGATATGGTCTCGTATAATCTCGAGTTGTCAATCCCACATTGGTAGACTTCTTATCCTCGTGGTGACTGGTGACTACTATAGTACTATTAAAATTATACTGTTATTTAAATGTTTTCTAGGTCATTGTCATTTTAAATATTTTATGTAATCAAAATGCAAGTAGTGGCAAGTGGACTGATTTATTTAGGTGTCGGTAAAATTTTGGTGATAGATACTGAAATTCGTTCCATTGTGTAACGCTTGGTCCGGAGGAATCCAAAGAAAGGATCAGCAAAATCTGTGTTACACAAGCTATGGAAACCTCCGGACCTTGCCATATGTGTTTGCTAGTCAAACTCCACTTGCTTTCTATTTCGAATCACAACCTTTTTGCATGAATTTGGGTCAGATTTACGTACAAAGTTGTGGTTGAGATTAGAGATTCTTCAGGAACAAAGTGTTTTGGAGATTCCCAGATGCAAGAAAAAAAGCCGAGGCTGAGCATGCAGCGCAAGGAGCCCTTTGGTATCTTAAGCACGTAAGGCGAAACCGGAGAAAGCCGAATGAGTAATCATCATCTAGGCAGATGAAGTAACAGGAGAACATTGTAGAGTCTCTATATAGTTGTAAAAAGATATTACTATCGGTTAATTCATTACTATAGAGGGTTGTACTTGTACAGTGTTGATCAGTTTCAGAATTCACTGAGAGTGAGAGTTGATATGTAATGATAATAATTTCTTTAACTTGTATCTCAATCCTTGTTCCATTATACTTCTCCCCATGTTTATTAGTGAAGGCCTAGAATTGAGTGAAGAACCTATTAACTATTAAAGCCCAACATTGAGCCCAGACGACTAAACCGACCTTATCATATATCTACTAAACGTCGTCGTTCGTTTTTATTTTCACTTTCCTCTCTCTTACTGCAACTTTTGCTCTAGCAAGAAAACTAAGAAATACTCCACTTGATTTTGATTTTGGAGGTGGAACTTTGTCGATTTATGTCTTCAATATAAACGAGAACTAGGGTTGATCGTTGGTGTTTGATTTGAGCCCCGTTATTAATTCGGGTAATTATTTTTTCTGTTCCCTATTTTGATAATCTAAGCTTCGCTTCAGTGTATTTTTGCTTAGTCTCCGACTTGATTTTAACCTCTTCTACTACTTGAACCGATTTGCATTTTGTTAGGGTTTTCAATAAAGTGGATTCCAAATAATTTCTCAGAAAAATTGAACCGATTTGCATTTTGTTATACAGATTTCTCAGCTTTGCTTAAAGGTGGACAAACACTAGTCATTTTAGGTTTTTGCCGGCGAACAAATTGCAGTTTTTTTTTCTCTTGCCGCCGTTGATAAACAATAGCTATGTCAACTCCGCCGTCTAATCCGGCTAATGAGCCATACTCTCCGCTGTCAAATCCGCGAAGAAAGGCTTACGTCCTCCTCTCCGGGCTGCTATCCGACCCTGGCCTTGTCTACAGTGACTTCACAAAGGGCTTTATCATGCGTCATCTGGTTGACCTAGTCTCTTCCGACGTTCTTCTGCAGTACAAAATCGAGCCGGTTGAGCACAACGGCTCCTCCGTCAATCTGCTTCAGGCGTATGGATCTATCCCGTCCTCGGTTGTCACCATCTGCTTCCCGCAGGATTACCCTCATCGCTGTCCTAGAGTCCGCGTGAATCCCAGAGACGATGCGGTCTTCAGTGACACCAGCTGTGTCGATTCTTCTTCTGGTGCGGTGTCTCACGCTTATCTCGGCTCTTGGAAATGCCATGAATCCAACCTCGCATCGCTCGTCGAGGAACTCAGCAGAGAATTCACTAGCCATCCGCCTCTTACCTTCCCTCATTTGAAAGGGGTTTTGACGCCTGATCAGGTTTGTCTCTCTGGAATCGATCCTTAACTTTTCTTATGCTGATGATGAATTGATGATGATGATCTCGTCTGGTTTTGGTGTGACAGACAAAGTTGGCAAAGATTCTAATCGAAAATGGTGGGAAGAAGCTTTATGAGAGGTTTGGAGCTTTACCTCCGGATTACCAAAAGGAAGTTTTCGAAGAGGTTTACCTTCTTCTTTTTGCTTCTTCTATATGATTACATTTTTTTCTTAATTCTTGCTCAGTGTTTTGATGGAAACAACAATTGCTTTTGATCAGATCACTAACAAATATCGAAGACATCCTGATTTAGCGACCTACATCAAGAATACGGAAACGAGGGTAGAAGCATTCATCAAGAATGTGGAAGATGTTGCTTCAAAGGTAAGCAATTTATCGTTTGTGGTGTTGGTATCATCATCCTTGTACTAAGGCTTTACTCTCTTGTGATGAATTTGTAGTATCTCAAAGAACCAGTCTCTTGTGATTCATCTTCTGGTTCTGGGACGAATGGTCAGATGAGTCCTCTGCAGCATTCTGGTCCCGCGGCTGTGTTAAAACCGGAAGCAGAGAAAGAGATCTCCGAACTGTTTACCTCCACGTCTCAGCAAGATCTTGCTTACAGTGACGCAAGCAGGGAGCTCATCCAGAAGCACCTTCGTGAGCTTCACCTTCTTTACCCTGACAAGGTTACTGTGAAGCACGACTTGTCCAAGCCTTATATCGAGATAGCTGTGAAGGTCCCATATTGCCTCGAGGGAAGTAGCAACAACTCTGCACCTGTCAACATCTACCTCACAAAGCTCTACCCTGCTAGTCGTCCTCACGTTGGCTTGGATTGCCCTAGCGATCAAGTCATTAAGGAGAAACGGCTGAGTGTCGCTCCTGGTGGTACCGTGTATTTCAGCTATCTCCGGACATGGAATGAGAAGGAATCCGATCTGGCTGGACTTGTCTCCTATCTCAGCGCTGAATTCACCTGTGAAGAGCCTCTGGAAAGCCGCTGAAGATCAACAACCATGGAGTTATTATTAATGCATTATCTTCTCAAGCAATTGTATTGCTTCTCTTAGCTCTCTCTGTAAAAGTCTATACTGTCTTTGGGGTTTGGGTTGAAAACCCTAGATTGAGAGTTAAGTTGCTTCCAAGAAATGCTTTACATTTTTCTAAACTCAAAAAGCCCAAGTAAATATAAAAAATAAACAATCAAGTATCGTTTTTTCAAGTCGATGGATCATTCCCACCAAAATAGATGATAAATCGTATTGTCAAGGAAACCCCTTTGTCACGCTACCAATTTACTCTTCTCTCCCACACAAAGTTGGTTCTGTTCATGAATTTGATTCTAAGTCTGTTTGGGCAAAATTTAACCGGTTCGCAAGTACAATAAACGGAATGACGCAGGAGAAGATATCTTATTAATCAATTGAATATCGAGCTACAATAAGTCAATATCAAAGATTAAACTAAGAGAATCTCGTCTGTCGCTCGTCGTAGATCGTAGTTCGTCGTATCTAGGTTGTTCGTCGCTTGCTCGTCGAGAGGCAAATAACAAGTAGCTATTAGGGTTTTTGTGTGTTTTTCTGAATGAGTCTCTTGGTTCTAGGACCTCTTATTTATAGGTGTTCGTCGGTCCTAGTCCTTATCGAGTTGGGCTTTGACGTCGATCGTAACTTTCTATTTCCTACGTCGGTCGTCATTCCTAATTTCCTTAGAAGCGCATGTCGGTCCTTTAAACAATTCCAAATAGGTTAAGGAAATTGTATAAAACCATTGGTCATTGTTAAACCGTTAACAAACATCGTCGGTCGTTGCCTTATCACGTCGATGTTAAGGCCTTTTAGACAATAGGAGGTAAGATCGACCAGTCATCATGGTCGTCGGTCGACAATATTCCCAACTTATAATAGAGTGTGGAGCAACCGGTTAGTGAATTTATTTCACCCAACAACTTGCCCCCTACTCTATATTTTCTTATTAAGAATTTGTAAAGTAATAGTTTTTTTCGAACATTGTCGGTCGCTTGCTTACTCACGGCTGTCGATTCTTTACCATGGTCGATGAAGTTGATGCTTCAACATGTTCCTCGTGAGGTTTATCTCCAATACTAAAAATATATACAATGTACAAGAACACATACAGAACAACCAACTCATACAATATACTTTAGGAAAAGAGAACATACGTACTTATCTCTCTTATTTGTCACTCGCAAATAAATGATGATTATTATTTGTGTAACCATGTAGGACCAGGAAGGATTGACATTTCATTAAGTTGAATGTCGAGTGACAAACAAATGTAAAGAATCTCTCTCCTCTTTTTATGCTCACGTGGGGCTCTTAAAAAATGAGGAAGGACAGACTTGTTGCTCTTTCTTTCTTTGTCACTCTTTAAATTTTTAAAAGACTTCCTCCATGTGGGACTTAACATGTGACCTCTTTTAAGTCGTCGAGCTCCATTTACTCTAATCTTAAATGAAAAGCATTTTTTCCAAATCGTTAGTCGTTACTCAATAATATCGCTTGGGACATCGATCCCTTCTTAATGTAGATGCTATTTATTTTTTGTATGTCGCTCCTTTATCTTCTTTTGTCGTTCCCTCTTTCTTTATTTGGAGTTGTTAATCTTTTACCTTTTATGTCGCTTGTATAATAGATAAGTCACATGTGACCATGGAGACCCTTTTTATCTATAGTTGGTCTTGGTTTCGTAGGACTTTCTTTTTATCGGTCTCATGAGATTAACAACAAGAATGTTGCCCCCTTGTCGATTTGACCGCAACAAATTTGTATGCATGTGGCTCTTCTATTGTTATTGTTGAGCATCGTCAACTTCAGAACCTCTTGATTTTGTAGATGTTGTCACAGATTAAGAGTACCTCTTCATGTTAGCTAATGATATGATCATAACATTTGGAGGTCGTACCTCTAACTTATTTGTTAGCGACTGTCGTCGCTATCTATTGAGTACGTACCTCTTTATTTATTATATCATGACTTATCATGGTGAGGTCGTACCTCTTAATTTATTTAGTAGCGACAGTCGTCACTGTATATTGAGGACATGTCTCTCTATCTATTTGCTTATGACTTGTTGTCATAGCATGTGGAGGTCGTACCTCTAAATTAGTTATCAGCGACTGTCGTCGATGTCGATATACATTGAGTACATGACTCTTATCTTCCTAGTGACCATGGTCAATTTGCTCATGAGGCATTGCCCTTAGTTTTTTTTTGAAGAAACGTCGATCGTCGTTGCTGCTCTATCATGAGGAGGCAATGCCTTTTTTTTTTTTTTACTGTCGTTTGTCATAAGCAGTGCAATGACTGTCGCTCGTCACTAGTTGTGGATACAACGTCGATATTAAAGCGAGTGACGAACATAATCTGAGAATTCTTAAATACTCATATGTAGAAAAACCTTTTATTAAGAAGTTCGTCCGTAGACATGCGCGAAGTAAAGAAAAACAATTGAAAGCAGAGACATCTCGTGGATCGTCTATGACTATGACAATAACGAAATAAATAAAACCAAAACACTGAAAGCCAAACTAACCTAGAAGAGGTAGGTTTCGAGGTTCGTTTCATCAAGATCTTTTTCCGTCAGTGGATCTCACAGAGTTGTTCCACCTCTGCTTCTTTGGTATGTGGAATCGACGATTGGATCTCTAGTTGATATAGCTCATGACCTTTCCCTTTTAGGGTAGTTTGGTAGCATGAACGTGCATGCTCTTGTTCTCCCTTGATCTCTTTGACTCCCCATGGAGTAGGAAATTTTATGGTTTGATGGAGTGTCGATGGCACTGCCCCCATGTCATGAATCCAGGGACGTCCCATAATTGCGTTGTACGCAGTAGCACAATCTAGTATCAGAAACTTTGTCTGTCGGTTAATTCCTCCTGCATACACAGGCAGCGTCACTTCTCCTATGGTCTGCTTTACTTCACCGCTAAATCCTACCAGTGGTGTGGATTTTCGCGTCAGTGCATTCTCATCCAGCCCTAATCCTTTGTAAGCATCCATGAAGAGAATGTTGGTCGAACTCCCATTATCAACGAGTGTCCTTTTCATCAGACTATTAGCAATTGTCAAAGATATGACTAATGCATCATGATGTGGAGCTAGGACACACTTATCTTCATCTGAAGCAAAGCTAATCGTGCACTTCGACAGTCGCTCGCATATAGCTTTGACATCTCCATGATGAGTTCTAGCTATTCTAGTACTCTTTTTAGCAGCAGAATGAGTAATTCCACTAACCTTGATCCTCCCGATATCACGTTGATGATTCGATCATGCTCGGAGATTGAGCAGGAGATGGTTTTCTTTGCACCTCGTCATTGCTTCTGTCGTCGATGCGACTCCTAGCCCTGTCGGACAAGTATTCTCTCAAGTGACCTTTTTTTAGTAGCTCGTTTACTTCCATTCTCAACGTGATGCAATCTTCTGTTCTATGACCATGGTCAGAGTGAAAGTCGCACCACTTTGATGTGTCTCTTCGTTCCCCTGGTGCTTTCATCTTTTGAGGCCATCTTACTCCAGATATATGATTAAGAACATTGACTAGTTCTGCAGGAGATATTGCGAGGTTACTCATGTCTGGCCATGTGGATGATGAGCGTTGGTCGCTCTCAATTTGGTTGAGTGGTCGATGGTCGCTTCTATTGTCGCTTCTCTTGCTAGTGCTTTCACTGCGTGGTCTCTGGTACGGTCTGTCATCTCGAGAGGGACGCTCGTTCCTAACAACGCGCGAATCAGATCGTGGGGAAAGTAGGTGTCGATATGCAGGGTCTTCCTCCCACCTTATTTGAGCCCATGCTCTAGATAGCACATCTTCCATCGTTCTGCACTGGTACTTCGTCAGTTCCTTGTACAAATCACTGTCTGGGAGCAATCCTCTTTTGAATGCAGAGATGGCAGTGGACGTGACACATGCCGGAATGGATACTTTCTCTTTGTTGAAGCGACCTACGTAATCGCGCAACGGTTCTCCTCTCTTCTGTATCACTTCATAGAGATCGTCGGCTGTCCTTTCTATGTTCCTGCTGCTCGCGAATTGCTCAACAAAGCGGTCTGTCAATGACGCGAACGAGTCGATTGACGCGTTCGGTAGGTTCGTAAACCACTGAAGAGCTGGTCCCGTGAGGCTAGATCCAAATCCTTTACACATACTAGCTTCGCGATATTCTTTTGCTATTGCCGTTGTGAACATGCGTTGCTTGTACTGGGCTATATGATTATCAGGGTCGGTCGTCCCGTCGTACATCTTCATTGAAGGGACGATGAACTTCTTTGGCATCTCAACCAAGCGATGGCATCCGTGAAGGGAGTGTCTGCATAGCAATTAGGAGCACTTTTGGTGATTGGAGGAGCTACTCCTGGAAGTCGCGCGAGCAAGAGCTCCATAGCCTCCAATCGCTTTGAGAACATAGTATGCGAGTCTTCAGATTGATGTTCCATCGTTGGTGCAAGGGGTGGAACCAATGTTTGGTTACCTTGCGCAGCGTCGGTAGCTCCTGTTCCTAGGGCTGCTCCTGTTGCACCCGTAAGTGGTGGAGTGTCGAACGATTGCATAGGAGGAACCGGTTCTCGATATCTATTGCGAGCCTGAGCCAATGACGCGTTTTCTGCTCGTAGGGTTGCGTTCTCCGCCTGGATTTGCGCAAGTCGTTCTTCGTTCTGCTTCATCTGAGCTGTGAGAGCCTCCAGCTGAGCAACGGTGACGGTCGGTGTTTCGGTCGGTGTGGTATCATCTCCCGCCGCCATGTCTCACGCAGTTAAAATTGCCCCTCCTTCTAGCGCCAAACTGTTTGGGCAAAATTTAACCGGTTCGCAAGTACAATAAACGGAATGACGCAGGAGAAGATATCTTATTAATCAATTGAATATCGAGCTACAACAAGTCAATATCAAAGATTAAACTAAGAGAATCTCGTCTGTCGCTCGTCGTAGATCGTAGTTCGTCGTATCTAGGTTGTTCGTCGCTTGCTCGTCGAGAGGCGAAGAACAAGTAGCTATTAGGGTTTTTGTGTGTTTTTCTGAATGTCTCTTGGTTCTAGGACCTCTTATTTATAGGTGTTGTCGGTCCTAATCCTTATCGAGTTGGGCTTTGACGTCGATCGTAACTTTCTATTTCCTACGTCGGTCGTCATTCCTAATTTCCTTAGAAGCGCGTCGGTCCTTTATACAATTCCAATAGATTTAGGAAATTGTATAAACCATTGGTCATTGCTAAACCATTAAAACATCGTTGGTCGCTGCCTTATGTCGATGTTAAGGCCTTTTAGACATAAGAAGTAAGATCGACCGGTCATCATGGTCGTCAGTCGATCATATTCCAGCTTATAATAGAGTTTAAGGAGCGACCGGTTAGTGAATTTATTTCACCCAACAAAGTCTAAGTCAGTCTTCTCGACCCACTCCTCCGTTTAACCTTGGTGGAATGTCCCCCCCCCCCCAGTGAATAACTGTTTTATCACACACAAAATTAGTTTTTTAATTCAAGAACTGGATTCTAAAGCCTAAAGTCAGTCTTCTCGACCCATTCCCCTGTTCCACCTTGATGAGATGTGCCCCCAATTAGTCATGGGTATGTGATCGAGAATAAGTCTTTGAAGTCTTTGATTCTTTTCACCATTATTGTTACTCATGAATCTGTAAAAGTGACCCACATGTTTTCTTTTAACCGTCAAATCGAAAAGGCTTTTTTTCTTTTCTTTTCTTATCAACATCTAAGTATCTAACTCAGTTTATTAATTTGTAAAACGGATGATATAGAAAATTATAGCCATTTCGACGGTTTAAAAAAAAAAGCATGAGCTTTCTTTAACAACACTGTTTCTTCCTCGATTAAGATGTCCCAAAGATGCATTGTGGGAGATTTACCATATAGATTACTCTCGAGTCACAGAGTACTCTGCCAATTTTTTGCTTGTTAATTAGATTTGTACATCATATTTTTCGTGACCATGTATACAACTTGAAGGACATGAATTTAGCTGAAAAGCTCTCCTTGAAGAGCTGACATAATACGCTTTTAAATTACTTTCGTACATCAAGACAAATAATCTAGTCTTGTATTATATAGAGTTGTCATTTGTCAATCCCACATTAGTAGAATTCTTATATATCCTTGTGGTGACTGGTTACTACTATTGGAATTATACTGTTCTTTTAAATATTTTCTAGGTCATTGTCATTTTGTGATTCTAACCATTCATTCACATATTGGATTCCGCGATTCATGGAAATTTTTATCGAAATATAAATTCATTATGTATTCAAAAGAGAAGTAGTGGCAAGTGGGCTGATTTGATAACGAAAAAGTGAAAAACAAATTATTTCAGGCATTCTAACATAGGCTATGGAAAAAGTTGTGAAAAAAAAAAATAGTGATCTTAATAAAAAAAAAGCATAATACAAAATACAATCGAATACAATGTTAAACGAGATAAACCAAACAACACAAATTACCTATCGTTTTCATTGCTCGAAAAATTTAAAGATTTAAAACATCTTGAAGAACATAAATTTCACACCGACCCATATCTTATATCTTGGATGGCGACTTCAAATCTCTGCTTCCAAATATTAAATTTATTTCTCTATCTTCTGAAAACCTAAGAATCTCTATTGAAGATTGTCTATAAGTTTCAAAACCTTAGGGTTTGTGCCACCTTATTTTATTCTCCTAACAATAGTAGCGATTGGATGGCATATATAGCACAGTAGCATAGCATTTCATGAACCCTAAACTTTCAGTGTGCATCTTCATCCATGGCTAAGTCAGAGCCTAAGGTTAGGATCTCCTCGAGTTTAGAGAAATTGTTGTTAGCATTTTGAGATAGTATGTAAACTAACGCAAGAAAAAAAGTAAGGCAAATAAAATTCACAAAACTAAAGAGAATGGTCGCAAGTGTCGGCAGAAAGATTTACCTCTTCAAAATTTTGTATGGGGCAAATAAAATTCTGTAAACTATAAACATTTTCAAAGAAAACTCATAGTAAAAATTAGAAATGACAACACTATACGTCACCAAAGATGACGAAACCAAAAGCGAAAAACATAACGTCACTACCTCGAACCTGCGCTTATAAATAAGGGTGATTCGGTGCCACTGACATTCATCATCATCATCATCATTCATAAACACACACAAGAACCCGACCAAAAAGAATGGCAAATTTCTTCAGTTTTCGCATCCTCTTATTCGTGTCCATCACAAGTAACTACAAAACACACTGTTTTTTTAAATGTTTCTTCGATGTTTCACTTTCACTTTTTTTTTTTTTTTTTCTTCTTTCGCTATTACAGTCTACGTTTTCTCCTCTGTTTCTTCAGCTTAGTTTTGATGATTTGTTTTGTTTTTTTTTTTGGTTTATAGTCTTCGATCACAACATTTTCATAACTAAGACGATAAAAAAAAATTACAAATCGTCTTTGATCACCATTGGGGTATACTGTTAGCAAAAAAACCATTGGTATACCCAAAACAGTATACCATCGTCATATCCATTCATTTAAAACCTAAAAAAAAAAAAATCCATGCATTTGAAACAAACAAAAAACATATTCATGGGAGAAGATGAATAAAGGAAATTTAAGTAAAAAAAAAAAAAACATATTCATGCACAATAATTGTCATAAATATTTTGTCTCTTTCTGATGATTTAGTTTGTGTTTTTGAATTTACAGGCGGCGTTTCTGTTTCCGCCACCGTCTTTATGGTTCAAAACAACTGCCCTTACAACGTCTGGCCAGCAACTTTCTCCGGCAACGGCAACGCCCTCGGCGAAGGCGGATTTCAACTGGCTCCACGTGAATCCAAACAGCTCACGCTCAACGCTTCACCGGGATGGACAGGCCGGTTCTGGCCTCGTACCGGCTGCAACTTCGACTCTTCCGGCAAGGGAAGATGCGTCACCGGAGACTGCGGCGGCGTTCTAAAATGCACCGCCACCGGAGTTCCTCCAGCCACTCTTGCTGAATTCACCATCCAAGGAGACACCGGCAAAGATTTCTACGATCTGAGCCTCGTCGACGGTTACAATGTCAAGATGGGTATAAAACCGGAAGGAGGATCCGGAGACTGCAAATACACAGGCTGCGTCGCCGACCTCAACGCCGATTGTCCTCACGAGCTTCAGGTCACGGATCCGAACAGCAACGGCAACGAAAACGTCGCGGCGTGCAAGAGCGCCTGCGCGGCGTTCAATAATGAAGGATATTGCTGCACCGGAGCTAACTCGACGGCGGCAACTTGTTCTCCGACGGACTACTCGAAGAGGTTCAAGAAAGCTTGCCCTACCGCCTATAGCTACGCTTATGACGACGCAACGAGCACCTTCACTTGTTCCGGAGCTAACTACTTGATTACTTTCTGCTCCTAAACTTCTCAAAACCGGAGCTCCGGTTTGGATTCGGGTCACGTTTTCTTTTGCTTGCTATGTACGGAAAGATGAATATCTTCTTCCACTTTTAAGGTTTTCCAAAATAAAGATTTCAGTTGTTACACTTGCATTGTTGCATACAAATAAATCTAATGGAATTAGAAGTCATTTATCTCCCTAGCAAAAGCAAATATGACTCACGACCTAGATCAATAATAAGATACTCCCTTATCAAGAAATAATGTAATTTTGTATCTTTTCAAAAACTAAACATATTTTCTTATAAATCCGAAACAATCCAACCTTGATCACTTTCTGCTCCTAGACTTCTCAAAACCGGATCTCCGGTTTGGATTCGGGTCATGTTTTCTTTTGCTTGCTGTGTACGGAAAGATGAATATCTTCTTCCACTTTTAAGGGCTTCCTAAATAAAGCTTTCAGTTGTTACACTATTCAGCTGATTTGCATCGTTGCATACAAATTAATCAAATGGAATTAGTACAATTAGTAGACTGACTACCTCGATCGATAATAAGATACTCCCTTAGTAAAAAATAATTTAATTTTGTATCTTTTCAAAAACTAAACATGTTTTCTTATAATTCCAAAACATTCCAACCAATAAGAAAACAGTCTGCAAATTCAGTGAGTTAAAAAACAGCAAAAATACAATAAGTTTTGCATCAAACATTAAAACGATCTTATCATTTTGAAACATAAAAAAGTCTCTAAAACTTGTGAAAGAAAGGGAATACTTGATATTTCTTATAAAGGGACGAGGTAATAAGATACTTAATAGATTAATACATATAATGGTGGGCATTCACTTGAAAGACTCGACTTCAAGCGACATACTCTCTGGCCATTGGCTCGTTGTTCTCCTTACGATAGCCTTGTATTCTTGACCGCCACTGCATTTGAAGCTAATGTAGAAGATTACATTCCTGGCTCTGGCCTTGTTCTTGGACTCCACATCTTCTTTGGTTTGCACAACTACCTTCGTCAGCTCAATTGGCTCTGCCTTTTCATGCTCCTGCAACACAACACCACCAAGAAGAGATCATTAATGAACCTACATGTATGTACGATTACGAATTACCCTCTCCAAGTCCAATAGTCTTTTTCCTCACCGGGCAAAATCTCAAGGACAACACAGCGAGTTGAGCATAGAGATAAAGCCATTGCTTGTCTTGTTCCACGTCTGATTCTGTCATCTCGTAGTACTGCGGCTTATCACTGCCAGTTAGAGCATCCTCGGGCATCCAATTGGGCATACGACGTCTGTAGAATTCATCCAGACAAAATGTTTCATTGCAACGAACCTCTGAGGTACAAAAACAAGAAGACATGGAACAAATAATAATATTATTATATTATGAGAGAGAGAGAGGGAGGATAATAACAAAAGGTGCATAAAATAATTACCTTTGTCTAATTCGCAGCGAATTACAACCAATTGCATGCGACCTCTAGGAGGCTTATCGAAAAAATCAGCCTGGTTAGCATAATGAACAGCTGTTTCGAGGCTGCGAGTGGAATTGCTTATTGGATCCTCTACCTCCAATAACATTTCATGAGTTGCTCTTCCGGAAGTAGAGTGACCTTTTACAGCTAAAAGATGTAAGTTTCTCCCCTGCAAGAGCAAATAAAAAACAAACTTTGGCTTTATTCACTACAGCTTCATACGATATATGCAAACCAAAAATAAGTAGACAGAAACAAATAAAACAAAACAACAAACTTGATTTATCATACCTCGTGCAGATTGTAGCAATGAAGTCCAGTTGCAGCAAGTAGCCTTTTGACTCCACGTGGTCGCTGATTGAGAGTAGAGAGAGAGAGAGAGAGAGAGAGAGAGAGAGTCCAAATCAAAATCAAAATCTCGAGTGCACAAGATAATGTCATCCAAAACAAAGAGGTACAATCAATTTTGAAATCGAGAGGTTTCCTATTCACAACAAAAGTCCAAATTACCGTCATAACCAACAAAAGGGCACGGGCTACTTCTTGGTCCGACATGGAACATTTCAACGATCCCTAATAAGAGAGGATTAGGTTTAATTGAATCGTACCCTAGACGGAATCTGGAAAGCCCAAGATTTACATGAATATTACGGTTTTGAAGTACAAAAGTACCTCCGGTGGTTTTTTCACGTCTGTGGTGAGAGGGGTTTCAAAGTTTGGTGCGTAAGATGGTGCAAGACATTCAGATTCCAGCCGCTGAAGTGAATAAGTTGGTGGTGATGGTGCATATATTGGTGGTGGTGGTTCATATTTTGGTGATGATGGCGAATACGTTGGTGATGTTGGTGCATACGTCTGCACTTGATAAGATGATGATGATGGTGAATACATTCGTGATGATGGTGTATACGTTGGCGAATAAGTTGGCGATGTTGGCGAATATGTTGGTGATGTTGGCGAATACATTGGTGATGATGGCGAATATGTTGGTGATGTTGGCGAGTACATTGGTGATGATGGCGAATACGTTGGCGAATAACTTGGCGATGATGGTAAATAAGATGGTGATGATGGTGAATAAGTTGGCGATGATGGCGAATACATTGGTGATGATGGCGAATAAGCTGATGGCGAATATGTTGGTGATGATGGTGAATAAGCTAATGGTGATGATGGTGCATAACATTCAGATTCCATCGGCTGCGGTGAATGAGAGCCGTAAGTTGGTGGTGGTGCGTAACTTTCAGATTCCATTTCCATGGGTACAAGTTCATGGGAGACGTAAGTTGCTGGTGATGAGGGCAAGATTGTTTGCTGATACGGTGGTAAAGCAGCAAGGAGTCCCTTAAGAACAAAAAAAAAAGTATAATCATTTTGAAATCGAGAGAGACACTATGGAGACACAAAAGTCCAATTTACCGTCAAAGCCAAGGGGTCACTGGCTTCTTCTTGCTTCGACATCAAGCAACCTCAGTAAGATGATTAGGTTTAACTGAATCGTAACCTACACGGAATCTATCAAACCACAATCAGCAACACATTTGATTGATTCTTAGAGAGAAACAAAACGCAGTTTTATAAAAAGTGTTTCACCAATTAATTTCATTTCAGTACAAATGAAGAGATACGAATCCTACAGTTTTGAATCCACCCATTTAATATTTCAAGTGGTGGATCATGACACATTTACTATTTTAGATCCGAACACAGATGATATGATGCGTGTTTTAATAAAACCAAAGATGATGTGCTTGTCGAGAAAATGCTCTTAGCAATAAGAATTTATTTACATATTATCCAAATAATTTTGAATAATAGATATCGTAAAACAGAATTATTTACCCAAAAAAAGGGATGCCGTAATGATTTTACATTGGCACGAGACATTTATTTATAGAAGTAACGCTTGCTCCTCTAACTAGTAATTTTCCGATGTGGGACTCTCAAAATGCTACAGATTTTTTTATAAATATTTTCGGCTTTCCTGGCCATGCAATAATAATTAATATTTCGACTTTGGGTTGAAAACCCTAAATTAATTGAGACCTTGGTTGCTTAAATTCCAAGGAATGCTTTACATTTTTCAAAATAATAATATGTTGGTCTAAGACTTCACTTTTTATCTTTTGCTACTTGATCACTTTCTACTCCTAAAGTAAAGTTCTCCAAGACTGGAGCTCCGGTTTGGATTCGGGTCTGGTTTCCTTCTCACTTTTTCTTTTACTTGCTATGTACGGAAAGATGAATATCTTCTTTTCAGTTGTTACACACTCACTACTCAGCTGATTTGGAAATTGTTAGTTATTTGATCCAAGGTTAATTACTTATTAATTGCATTCCACGTTGTTCTCTTGAAACTCACATATTTATTTGACTTGTGTCTTAAGTCTCTTGTGAAGGTAGATATGCAACAAAAAGAATAAACGACAAAATTAAATCCAAATTAAACCACAATATATATGTATATATATATACATGCATGCAGAACCCAAAGTCATTTATCATGTACCAACGACCTAGATGGATAAGATAATTAAATACAGATAATGGGACGAGATAATATAAGATACTTGATAGATTAATACACTTAATGCTGGTTTTCACATGACACACTTGACTTCAAGCGACATATACTCAGGCCATTCCTTCGTTGTTCTCCTAACGATAGCCTTGTAGTCTTGACCGCCACTGCATTTGAAGCTAATGTAGAAGATTGCATTCTTGGCTCTGGCCTTGTTCTTCGACTCCACATCTTCTTTTGTTTGCACAACAATCTTTCTCAGCTCAAATGGCTCTGTTTTTTCATCATCCTGCAACACAACAACACCACGAAGACGAGATTACTCATTAACCTACACGGCTACACGTAGGTATGTACGGATTACCCTCTCCAAGTCCAAAAGTGTTATTTTCCTCACCGGGTAAAATCCAAAGGCCAACAAAGCGAGTTGAGCGTAGAGATGAAGCCATTCCTTGTCTTGTTCCACCTCTGACTCTTTCATCTGCAAAATCATGTCAACAACATGTACATCGATCACTTATAACTTTATAGGACTACAAGGCAGGGGTCACCTCGTAGTATTGCAGCTTGTAGAGGCCCGTTAGCGCATCCTTAGGCATCCAATCAGGCATATCAACTTTGTAGAAATCATCCACCACAAGAATTTCATTGCATTGTTCCTCTGAGGTACACAAATAGACATGGAAACTAATATTATATCGAGAGAGAGAGATTGAGGGAGAGGGTTAACAAAAGGTGCATTATTACGTACACATATAAATATTTACCTTGAATTAATGAGCACCGCGTTACATACAAACGAATGTAACCCTCACGACGCATGCCTTTTTTATAACAAAACTCTGTATCGAGGTAGCAAGTGGAATTGGCTATTGGATCATCTACCTCGATTAACATATTCGTACCATATAATCCGTGTCCATAATACGCTTTTATATCCATAAATTGTAAAATTTTCCCCTACAAGATCAACATAAGCAAATCGAAAAACAACTTTCGCTTAAATCACTTCAACTTTATACGATTAAAATAAAAATAAAAAACTTGATTTATACCCTGTGCAGATTGTAGCAATGGATTCCAATTTGAGCAAGCAGCCCATCCTCTCCATACGGTTTCTGCTTGAGAGAGAGAGAGTCAAAATGAAAATCTCGAGTGGCCAAGAATTACATAAACTTTGAAGCACAAAATGACCTGGGGTTGTTTCTTCAGCACTGTGGTTTCAAAGTATGGGTCGTCACATACAGGTTCAGTCGGCGACCAATAAGGTGTGTACCATTCACATTCCAGCTGCTGCTGCTGCGGCGGCGAATAAGGCGGCGGCGAATAAGGTGGTGAATATGGTGAAAGACAGCCGTATTCGCAACTTTCAGATTCCATCGGCTCCGGTGAATGACAGCCGTGTGCGTAACTTTCAGTTTCCATTGGCTGCGGTTGTTCAAGTTCATCTTGTGCAGAGGGCAAGATTGTTTGAGATTCCATCGGCTCATGAGATGGTGAAGAGGGCAAGAATGTTTGCTGATATGGTGGTAAAGCAGCAAGGAGTCCCTTAAAAACATAAACAATAATGTTTCATATCAATTTTGAATTCGAGAGAGGCCTATATATGGGGAAAGAAAAGTCCAATTACCTTCAAAGCCAAGGGCTCACTGGCTTCTTCTTGCTTCGACATCAAGCAATCCTTATAAGATGATTAGGTTTAATTGATTCGTACCCTACACGGAATCTATCAAACCACAATCAGCACATTTGATTAATTCTTAGAGAGAAGCCAAACGCAGTTTTTAACGCAGTTTCTGTATACAAGATGAGATCCGATGCATGCAGGGGAATGAATTGCAAAACCAAAAAACGTAGAAAAAATTATATTCTCTGGCCATTTTTTTTTTGCCTAAACAACTTTCATTAGTCCAAATGTTTATTACACAACATGATTGTCATTCTCGACACATGAGATTATCCATCTAGGCAACAAGGAATACAGTTTGGGAACATAATTCTTAAATGATTTTTTCGCCAGATTAGATTTGGGCCTTTTCTAAACTCATAAACCCACATTGAATTAACATCAGAATCGTTATTTCAAGTGATAGATCGTGATCATTTACTATTGTTGATCAAAACACGATGATATGATGTCTGCTTTTTTTTTTCTTGAACGAACCCAAGATAATTTTTTGTCGAGCTATGCTCTTAGCTACTTCCCCCTCTAAATGAATAAAAGATTTCGGAAAACAAATGATCGGTCAAGGTAGATTTTCAATTAAAGGGGATGAAAGACAAACCCACAACGTCCAGGCTGGAATTTAATCCAATATAAAAAGAAATGTCAAGCACGAGACATTTACTTATAGTTGTAACTTTTGCTCCTATTACTAGTAGTCTTCCGATGTGGGACTCTCAAATGCGACAGATTTGTAAAGTCTTGTGGGCTTTCCTGGGCATGTAATAATATTTGCAGTTTGGGCTGAAAACCCTAAATTGAGGATTTGGTTGGTATAAAGTATAAACCACCATAAATTGGTTTTGGCATAATTAATTATCAATGTAATGTTGTAAGCCCTAAGAAAAGTTCAAATTTTAGAGGGAACTTTCAAATATCTCTGATCAAAGGCACATCAAGATCGTGTGGTTCTGAGATCTTCAATCCTTAGTTCTAACATCTAAGACACAAAATGCTTCACCCATCAGATTGTGTTCTTTCAGGTTGGTTTATATATCATCTGCAAAGAAACAAGAACACATAACCCATTCACAGAGGTTTCAAGTAAGGATGTGACGAAGAGATTATCTTGTAGTATACTATCATATATAGAAGAAAATAGCAATTTGAACACTAACCTTGGTGAGGATCTTCGTGCACAAAGAAACTGGCAGCGACTAGCAAATAGCAAATAATGAGCATCAATCCTTTGAAGTAGTTCGATGTCCCTTCCTGCATAACAACAAGCATAGCTTTTAAAACTCAAGATTTAGTCTCGTATATAACTTCAAGATATTATTAACCCACCTGGAGAAAGAAAGCTACAACTATAACAGTAATGAACAATATAGCAGTCTCAAAGAGCTGGAAATTTAGGTCCATTGGTGCACCAATCATCCATCCCATCACCACACAGACAGGAACCTATAAATCCAATCAGGCAAAGTCATCAACACTATCGAAAAACGCTCAAGTTTAAATTCCATATACATACCGCAAACATAGAAATCTGAATGGACGATCCAATAGCCACTCCCAAAGACAGATCCTGTAGGGAGAATATAAATTTAGAGCCTAATAAAGAGAAAAAAAAGACATCATGAGCAGGCAAGAGACTTGTATGATCGAGTGTACGTACGAGCTTGTCTTTCATGGCAAACATAATAGCGCCTGCATGCTCGGCCGCATTCCCAACTATAGGAAGCAAGACAACACTAATAAAAGATATTGGTATCTTCCATGAGACCGAAGCACCCTGTTACAGATTTAAAAACCCTAGTAAATAACACAAAACCAAAAGCCAAACTCATCTACTCATAGGTTTAGTTACCTCTATGGCATCTACAAGATACCCGGAAAGAAGAGAGACCCAAGCGGTTAAGACTAAAAGCCAGATGATAGCTTCCCACTTGGAGATCTCAGGATCTTCATCAGCGTCTGAAGTTTCTTCGTTCTTGTTCATTTTCTATATTTTTAAAAGCGTAGATAATTAAGTCCAAGTAGAGGAGAAAGACAACTTTGGGATTGTGTAACTTGCAATGCAAGAAACAACTTTATATATTTGTAGTTGTCTTAATCTATCGTTTCCAGGCTTATGTAAGAAGATAAAAACCAAAAAGATGGAAGACGAGGAACCTCGTAAGAACTCAGCTGGCTCTTTAACTGGAAAAAGAGGTAAGCAGCGTAGGCAACAAGCATTACGCAGCTGGTTAATCTTGATAGAAAAAGCACTGATGAACCAGCTTGAATCTCGCTGTGCGTGTAACGAAGAAGTGTGGGGAAGAGTAGTCCCATGACAGCTATCAAAAGCATTCCCGAACTCACAACCGCATTCCCCTGCATTCCAGAAGAATTTATTGTAAGCTGAGGAACGACATTTAGAAAGAAAGAGAGAATGAGATGCATACTTTGTCAAAGACTTGCTCTTTCCGGAAAAACACAAGGCCGCCGCAGAAGAAAGCGCAGCCAAGTACAAGCAACATGTTAGACAGAATGGAGCCGAGCAGCGTTAGCTGTACAACGCGTATCATTCCATTTCTAAGAGCAATCATCGATATAATCAGCTCTGTCACGTTTCCAAATGTAGCGTTTAGGAGGCCTCCAACTGTGTGAAAATATGTCTACGGCGTCAGAAAACGATATCAGGAGGACAACAAAAATAGAAAGCTTGTATCACAAGGAACCAAGTCATACCGGTTGGACCTGTATAACAAGCCAATTGCCTGTTACAAAATTAAACCGTTAGTTCTTGATAATATGGTAACTTTAAGAGTGCGAGCAACTACTTACTCTGTGGCATATCCGAGACGTTCAGCCAATGGTGTAATTCCTAATAAGCTCAGCAAGAAGAACCATCCCTGAGCCACAAAGAGAATCACTTTAATCTTGAGAGTTGAGACTTATTTTCAAGATTCAAGACTGTTAAGATTTAGAAATGCTCACCTTATTATCTGCCAAGTAGTGGACTAGTATTGCTAGAGGACCGAAAGGCAACAAAATATTGAGTTTATTCGACAAAATCACGATCTTGAAGCTCTGGAGCACACTGTTCTTTGTTGCTATAGCTTTGCGTTCCATCAAGGAAGCTGCTTCCGTTTGTAGGGAATCTGTCTCTCGTCTGAAAAGACTTCTGTGCTCAACTTCATCAACTAGCTCCATCTGTTAATAGTAATAATCCTTCCATTAATTAAACTAAAACGTGGTGCCAGATAGCTAAGACAAGACGTGATCGTAAAGTAACTTACAATAACTCAACACAACAAACACAACTACTTGAATAATTTCTATGTCAAGGAATTAACACAATAAATATATAGAGGTCCCTGCACGTACAGGATTTGTGATCTCAATGATGTGTTATTTGGTGTAGATCTAGTCATTGTTCACCTTAATTATTCCCTAGAAAATATGGATTATGACACATTACAAGCACGGGGACGAAGATACAACAAACTAATTGGTCTTTTAATTGTTTATGGACAAGATTAACAACTCAAGTATTAATGTATTACGGTATCATTGTACGACTCTTGTTTTTTTCTACTTTAAAGGTGCGACACTGAAGCACGCTTAATATATGTGCATACCCACCCTCGAACTTGTTTAGCAGCTTAGGTAGAATTTGGCGATTTGCAAATATATAAAGTTGTGTTTGTAATGTCTAATTAATAAGAAAAACAAACTTTTAACAAAAAAATGCTTTATTTAAATATAAAATATTTTTATCTGGAAAAACACTATACATTATTAAAATTTTCACATATATATGTGAAAGTTTCAAAATAGATTTATCTATCACTGAGATATTGAATTATGTACGAACTTTTTTGAAAAAAAAATAGAGTAAAAGTTTGGCCAATTTGCATTAATGTTACACTCAGCTGATTTGCATTGTTGCATGCAAATTAATCAAATGGAATTAAAAGTCATTTATCCCCTTACATGATGAGTACTAGGCTACTAGCAAATACGACCGATGACCTTAAATCGGAAAGATTCATATAATGGAACGAGATAATAAGGATACTTGATAGATTAGTATAATACATATAATGGTGGGCTTTCACATGAATGACTCGACTAAAAGCGCCATATGCTCAGGCCATTGCTCCGTTGTTCTCCTTACGATAGCCTTGTAGTCTTGACCACCACTGCATTTGAAGGTAATGTAGAAGAATGCATTCTTGGCTCTGGCCTTGTTCTTGGACTCCACATCTTCTTTGGTTTGCACAACTATCTTTCTCAGCTCAACTGTCTCTTCTCTGTCATGCTCCTGCAACACAACAACACCAAGAAGAGATCACTCACAAACCTACACGTATGTACTAAAATTACGAATTTACCCTCTGCAAGTCCAAAAGTCTTTTTTTCCTCACCGGGTAAAATCCCAAGAACAACAAAGCGAGATGAGTTGGGAATGCGGCCGAGCATGCAGGCGCTATTATGTTTGCCATGAAAGACAAGCTCGTACGTACACTCGATCATACAAGTCTCTTGCCTGCTCATGATGTCTTTGTTTTCTCTTTATTAGGCTCTAAATTTATATTCTCCCTACAGGATCTGTCTTTGGGAGTGGCTATTGGATCGTCCATTCAGATTTCTATGTTTGCGGTATGTATATGGAATTTAAACTTGAGCGTTTTTCGATAGTGTTGATGACTTTGCCTGATTGGATTTATAGGTTCCTGTCTGTGTGGTGATGGGATGGATGATTGGTGCACCAATGGACCTCTCTCACTCTTCTCGATACAATATTATTTATTCCATGTCTAATTGTTTTTGTACCTCAGAGGTTCGTTGCAATGAAATACTTCTGCTGGATGATTTCTACAGACGTGGTATGCCAAATTGGATGCCTGAGGATGCTCTAACTGGCAGTGATAAGCTGCTATACTACGAGTTGAAAGAATCAGAGGTTGAACAAGAAAAGGAATGGCTTCATCTCTACGCTCAACTCGCTTTGTTGTTCTTGGGATTTTACCCGGTGAGGAAAAAAAGACTTTTGGACTTGCAGAGGGTAAATTCGTAATTTTAGTACATACGTGTAGGTTTGTGAGTGATCTCTTCTTGGTGTTGTTGTGTTGCAGGAGCATGACAGAGAAGAGACAGTTGAGCTGAGAAAGATAGTTGTGCAAACCAAAGAAGATGTGGAGTCCAAGAACAAGGCCAGAGCCAAGAATGCATTCTTCTACATTACCTTCAAATGCAGTGGTGGTCAAGACTACAAGGCTATCGTAAGGAGAACAACGGAGCAATGGCCTGAGCATATGGCGCTTTTAGTCGAGTCATTCATGTGAAAGCCCACCATTATATGTATTATACTAATCTATCAAGTATCCTTATTATCTCGTTCCATTATATGAATCTTTCCGATTTAAGGTCATCGGTCGTATTTGCTAGTAGCCTAGTACTCATCATGTAAGGGGATAAATGACTTTTAATTCCATTTGATTAATTTGCATGCAACAATGCAAATCAGCTGAGTGTAACATTAATGCAAATTGGCCAAACTTTTACTCTATTTTTTTTTCAAAAAAGTTCGTACATAATTCAATATCTCAGTGATAGATAAATCTATTTTGAAACTTTCACATATATATGTGAAAATTTTAATAATGTATAGTGTTTTTCCAGATAAAAATATTTTATATTTAAATAAAGCATTTTTTTGTTAAAAGTTTGTTTTTCTTATTAATTAGACATTACAAACACAACTTTATATATTTGCAAATCGCCAAATTCTACCTAAGCTGCTAAACAAGTTCGAGGGTGGGTATGCACATATATTAAGCGTGCTTCAGTGTCGCACCTTTAAAGTAGAAAAAAACAAGAGTCGTACAATGATACCGTAATACATTAATACTTGAGTTGTTAATCTTGTCCATAAACAATTAAAAGACCAATTAGTTTGTTGTATCTTCGTCCCCGTGCTTGTAATGTGTCATAATCCATATTTTCTAGGGAATAATTAAGGTGAACAATGACTAGATCTACACCAAATAACACATCATTGAGATCACAAATCCTGTACGTGCAGGGACCTCTATATATTTATTGTGTTAATTCCTTGACATAGAAATTATTCAAGTAGTTGTGTTTGTTGTGTTGAGTTATTGTAAGTTACTTTACGATCACGTCTTGTCTTAGCTATCTGGCACCACGTTTTAGTTTAATTAATGGAAGGATTATTACTATTAACAGATGGAGCTAGTTGATGAAGTTGAGCACAGAAGTCTTTTCAGACGAGAGACAGATTCCCTACAAACGGAAGCAGCTTCCTTGATGGAACGCAAAGCTATAGCAACAAAGAACAGTGTGCTCCAGAGCTTCAAGATCGTGATTTTGTCGAATAAACTCAATATTTTGTTGCCTTTCGGTCCTCTAGCAATACTAGTCCACTACTTGGCAGATAATAAGGTGAGCATTTCTAAATCTTAACAGTCTTGAATCTTGAAAATAAGTCTCAACTCTCAAGATTAAAGTGATTCTCTTTGTGGCTCAGGGATGGTTCTTCTTGCTGAGCTTATTAGGAATTACACCATTGGCTGAACGTCTCGGATATGCCACAGAGTAAGTAGTTGCTCGCACTCTTAAAGTTACCATATTATCAAGAACTAACGGTTTAATTTTGTAACAGGCAATTGGCTTGTTATACAGGTCCAACCGGTATGACTTGGTTCTATAGACATGGAATAAATAATATTGCAACATCAAGCACGATACATTTATTTATAGAAGTAACGATTGCTCCTATAACTTGTAATTTTCCGATGTGGGACTCTCAAAATACTACAGATTTAGAAAAATCTTGTGGGCTTTCCCGGTCATGTAATAATAATATTTCGAGTTTGGGCTGAAAACCCTAAATTAATTGAGAGTTTGGTTGCTTAAATTCCAAGGAATGCTTTACATTTCCTTTTTGGTCTAATAAGCTTCACTTTTTTATCTTTTGCTACTTATCACGCTTACGATGACGCCACCGGTCACCCTTCACTTGTTCCGGAGCTAACTACTTGATCACTTTCTACTCCTAAAGTAAAGTTCTCCAAAACCGGTTTGGATTCGGGTCTGGTTTCCTTCTGACTTTTTCTTTTACTTGCTACGTAGGGAAAGATGAATATCTTCTTGGGCCCCTATCTTCTTTTCAGTTGTTACACACTACTCAGCTGATTTGCAAATTGTTAGTTATTTGATCCAAGGTTAATTACTGATTAATTCCATTCCATGTTGTTCTCTTAAAACTCACATATTTATTTGACTTGTGTCTTAAGTCTCTTTTGAAGGTAGATATGCAACAAAAAGAAGAAACGACAAACCAACAAAACTAAATCCAAATTAAACCACAACAAGTTTGGCCAATTTGCATTGTTACACTCAGCTGATTTGCATTGTTGCATGCAAATTAATCAAATGGAATTAAAAGTCATTTATCCCCTTACATGACTAGCAAAAACATTAAGCAAATACGACCGATGACCTTAAATCGGAAAGATTCCTATAATGGAACGAGATAGTAAGATACTTAATAGATTAATTTATATAATGGTGGGCTTTGAAAGACTCGACTTCAAGCGCCATATGCTCAGGCCATTGCTCCGTTGTTCTTCTTATGATAGCCTTGTAGTCTTGACCACCACTGCACTTGAAGGTAATGTAGAAGAATGCATTCTTGGCTCTGGCCTTGTTCTTCGACTCCACATCTTCTTTGGTTTGCACAACTATCTTTCTCAGCTCAACTGGCTCTTCTCTGTCATGCTCCTGCAACACAACAACACCAAGAAGAGATAACTCACAAACCTACACGTATATATGTACTACGATTACGAATTTACCCTCTCCAAGTCCAAAAGTCTTTTTTTCCTTACCGGGTAAAATCCAAAGGCCAACAAAGCGAGTTGAGCGTAGAGATGAAGCCATTCCTTTTCTTGTTCAACCTCTGATTCTTTCATCTCGTAGTATTGCAGCTTATCACTGCCAGTTAGAGCATCCTCAGGCATCCAATTGGGCATACCACGTCTGTAGAAATCATCCAGCAGAAGTATTTGATTGCAACGTATCTCTGAGGTACAAAAACAAATAGACATGGAATATTAATAATGTTATATCTAGTAGATAATAACAGAAGGTGCATTATTATTATTAGTATATTACAATACATATAAATAATGACCTTTCTCTAATAAGCAGCGAGTTACAGCCAATTCCATGCGACCTTTAGGAGGCGTAACGCTATGGTCAGGCTGGTTAAAATACCAAATAGCTGTATCGAGGTTGCAAGTGGAATTGCCTATTGGATCCTCTACCTCCAATGACATTTCATGAGTTGATCTTCCGGAAGTAAAGGATTCGTTTACACCCAAGAGTTGTAAGTTTCTCCCCTACAAGACCAATATAAGAGCAAATCAAAAACAAACTTTGGCTTAATTCACTACAACTTTATGCAATTGGAAATCAAAAATATACCCTGTGCAGATTGTAGCAATGGAGTCCAGTTTGAGCAAGAAGCCCTGTGACTACACACGGTTTCTGATCGAGAGAGAGAGAGAGAGAGGGAGAGAGTCAAAATAAAAATCTCGAGAGCCAAGATCCCATAAATATTATGGTTTTGAAGCATAAAATTACCTTATGTGGTTTCTTCAGCTCTGTGGTGAGAAGGGTTTCAAAGTTTGGTGCGTAAGATGGTGCAAGCCATTCAGATTCCAGCCGCTGCGGTGCATAACTTGGTGATGTTGGTGTATAACTTGGTGATGTTGGCGAATAAGTTGGTGATGTTGGTGTATACGATGGTGATGATGGCGAATAAGTTGGTGATGATGGTGCATAACTTGGTGATGTTGGTCATGGTGGTGTATACGTCGGTGATAATGGTATTCCATACGTTGGTGATGTTGGTGTATACGATGGTGATGATGGCGAATAAGATGGTGATGTTGGTGTATACGTTGGTGATGGTGGTGCATACGTCGGTGAAGATGGTGCATAACTTGGTGATGTTGGTAATGGTGGTAAATAACTTGGTGATGATGGTGTATACGGTGATGTTGCTGCATACGTCGGTGATGATGGCGAATAAGTTGGTGATGTTGGTGTATACGGTGGTGATGGTGGTGCATACGTCGGTGGTGATGGTGGTGCATACCTCGGTGATGATGGTGAATACCGCTGCACTGAATAAGTTGGCCATGGTCGCGAATACGCTGGTGATGATGGGGAATACGTTGGCGATGATGGCGAAGAACATTCACTTTCCATCGGCTGCGGTGAATGAGAGCGTGGTGGTGCGTAACTTTCAGATTCCATATCCGTGGGTACAAGTTCATGAGAGCCGTAAGTTGTTGGTGAAGAGGGCAAGATTGTTTGCTGATGTGGTGGTAAAGCAGCAGCAAGGAGTCCCTTCAAAACATATACAAAAATGTATCATATTAATTTTGAAATCGAGAAAGAGGCCTATGGGGCAACAAAAGGTCCAATTTACCTTCAAAGCCAAGGGCTCACTGGCTTCTTCTTGCTTCGACATCAAGCAACCCTTATAAGATGATTAGGTTTAATTGATTCGTACCCTACACAGAATCTATCAAACCAAATAGTTTCAAATCATTAACTATTTTAAATTATATAACACAGATGATATGATGGTCAGTAAGAATTTATTTAACATATAATCCATTTAAGAGAGCTCGAAAAACAAATTATCGGTCAAGAGTAGAACACAAACCAATAATAAGAAGGATGATGTTCAACACAAATCAAAAGAAAATTATAGGCACGAGACATTTATTTATAGAAGTAACTTTTTCTTCTCTACCTAATACATTCCCGATGTGGGACCTCTCAAATTGCTACAGATAATTTGTGGGCTTGGTTGAATATATTTGGAATTTGGGCTAAAAGTTAAAAGTTACAAAATATATAAGTTTATATAGGGATGAAAATGGAAACAATTTTACTTTCATAATCTAAACATAAATTATTTTATTTTGATGACTTCCATAATCTTAACTGTTATCAATCTGCCAGGTATATTTTCTTGTGAAAAATATCAAGGCAAATTCATAGTGCCAAAGAAAATGGGCTAACAAATCACATGTACCAAGAACACCAAAATATTCTGATGATGAACACTTATAAATAGAGAATCCGTGACAGTCATCATCACATAACACATAAAAGAAAGAAAAAAACGATCAAGAAAATGGCTAATTTCTCCAGTATTCACATTCTCTTCTTCGTTTTCATCACAGGTATACATACACAAACACACACTCTCTTTTTCTTTCTTCTCTGTTTCTTCTAGTTTAGAAATTGCACTGTTCAAATAAATATTTAGCATTGTTAGTGATTTGAAAATTTACAGGCGGAGCTGCTGTTTCCGCCACCGTCTTCACTTTGGAGAACAATTGCCCTTACACCGTCTGGCCGGGAATTCTCTCCGGCAACAGCAACACCCTCGGCGAAGGTGGATTTCAACTGACTCCAGGCTCCTCTGTACAGCTCACAGCTCCTCCGGGATGGTCAGGCCGGTTCTGGGGTCGCACAGGCTGCAACTTCGACTCCTACGGCCGCGGTAGCTGCGTCACCGGAGACTGCGGCGGCGTTTTGAAATGTCTCGGCGGCGGAGAACCTCCAGCGACTCTAGCCGAATTCACAGTCGGCTCAAGCGACTCCGGCATGGATTTCTACGACGTGAGCCTCGTCGACGGTTACAATGTCAAAATGGGGATAAGACCCCACGGAGGATCCGGAGATTGCCACTACGCAGGCTGCGTCGCCGACATCAACGCGATTTGCCCTAGCGAGCTTCGGATCATGGATCCGCAAAACGGAATCGTGGCCGCGTGCAAGAGCGCCTGCGCGGCGTTTCACTCGCCGGAATTCTGCTGCACCGGAGCTCACGCGACGCCGCAAACTTGCTCGCCGACGCAGTACTCGTCGTTGTTCAAGAACGCTTGCCCTAGCGCTTACAGCTACGCCTACGACGATGCCACGAGCGTTTTCACTTGTTCCGGATCTAACTACTTGATCACTTTCTGCCCTACCCGTTCTTAAAACCGGAGCTCCGGTTTAGACTCTGGGTCGGGTTTCTCTCTCACGCTTCTTTTGCTTGTTATGTACGGAAAGATGAATATCTCCTTCCACTTTTAAAGATCTTTCTTACACTCATCTCATTTGCATTGTTGCAATTTGCAATACAAAGAAATAATATCAAGAAGCATTAAAAAATTGTGAGGCTGTCTTTTTCATTGTTGATTCTTTAAAATATAATAATTACTTATTAATATTCCACCATATATGCTGCTCTCTTACATTTCACATATTCACTTGGCTTGTATGTTAATTGCGTTTTGGCATGTGTACTCAAGCTTGTGTCTTCAAAAATGCCACTTTTAGCATTTCTCCTACCAAAACTGTCATTGAGCAACAGAGCTTAATTTGTAAGGACAAAAGATGATGTTGGAACAGGGAAACTCTTGTGTTCACGGAGTTAGAAACAGCAATAGGTCATTAACTCTCATTGTTGTCAAAAGGTGTTCTAACTTGTAAGTTGTAACTCAGTCGACAAGGGAAAGTTTCTCTCTGAACAAAACTTTGTCGGTGATGGAAGAAGCATAGAACTTACTTTTGTCTTTAAAGGATGTTACCTTTTTTTTTGCCGGTGATGAGAGAGAGAGACAGCAAAAAAACACGGCGACCTCTTAAACTACTTCATTTGATCATCTTTTCAGGGAGAGCATAGCATCTCCTGTTTACTTTACATGCCTTTGTTTGTTGTACATGTCATCTTATCTCCTTATCCGAGTAGGTGCATGTGAGATCAGGTTAGTTTTGATAGTTTCAACTTTGAACTTTTTGTAAGAAAACCTTTTTTGCTTGAGAAAGAGTCGAGAAACCCAAAACAAAACAATGTCTCTAGATACATTTTGATTGTCATAATTCATCGAACCCACTTGAAGAAACCTACAAACTATATCATCACGGTCAGGATTTTAAGCAAGTTACTCTTTTTGCCAACACAAAGTTGGTAAAATTGAGGGATTTTTTCCATCATTTATAAAAAAAAAAGTTGGTAAAACTCATGAACTTGATTCAAAGTGTAAGTTAGTCTTCTTTACCATATAATTCTCGATGTCTCCAACTTTACTATTTTCTGATCACATTCATGTTTCGTGTTTAGTTGTGCACTCGTTCTCACAAAAAACAGACGTCAATATTCGTGTTTTGAATATCAATCTCATGCCATGTATCTGGATAAACCAGAGGACATTTTCTGCAAATAAAAGATTTACCACCAAAAAGATGAAAAAAAAATAAGGAAAATAGAAGAGATGGAATCATGGAAGACAGTTTCTATTTGCGCGGGATGTTGTGGGGTTCTTCTTTAACGGAATTTCATGCGAACGTGTGGAAATGGTTCATATATAGTTCATACACGTGCGGTCTCTTCACGTCTCTTTGATTTTTTTGCTTTTAGAAAAATAAAATGTTTTGACAATTAGCAGTTTAATTAGGCATGCTCTTTCACCATTACTGTCAAGTGTCAACTTAATATTCATGAATCCGTTATAAATGACTCCACGATATTTTCCCATTTTCCTTTAACCGTCACGTTATAGCAAAATTTAATTGCAAATCAATGATAGAAAAAAACAATTATGGCAAATAAAATTTCACAGAGCCAAAGAAGATGGGCTAACTATTCACCAAAAACATTAGTTTTACTGTAAACTGTAATTAATTAAAAATGATGATACCACTACCCTCGAACCAGCACTTATAAATAGAGGATCGGTGCGAGTAACTGACATTCATCATCATCACAATCATCATCATCTACACAACACATAAACACAAAAACACAAAAACTCGATCAGACAAAAATGGCGAATTTCTCCAGTATTCACATTCTCTTCTTCGTGTTCATCACAAGTAACAACATCAACACACTCTGTTTTTCACTTCTTCTCTATTATTATCAGAAATGTTTCGTTTTGACAGTTTTGTTTTGAAATTGCAGGCGGCATTGCTGTTTCCGCCACCGTCTTCACGTTACAGAACAGTTGCCCATACACCGTCTGGCCCGGAATCCTCTCCGGCAACAGCAACACCCTCGGCGACGGCGGGTTTCCCCTGGCCACAGGCGCTTCCGTACAGCTCACCGCACCTCCGGGCTGGTCAGGCCGGTTCTGGGCTCGTACCGGCTGCAATTTCGATTCCTCCGGCCACGGAAACTGCGTCACCGGAGACTGCGGCGGTGTCCTCAAATGCATCGGAGGCGGAGTCCCTCCAACGACTCTCGCCGAATTCACCGTCGGATCGGGCGATTCCGGGAAGGACTTCTACGACGTGAGCCTCGTCGACGGTTACAACGTCGAGATGGGGATAAAACCGCAAGGAGGCTCCGGCGATTGCCATTACGCAGGCTGCGTCGCCGACGTCAACGAGATCTGCCCCAGCGAGCTCCGGATCCTCGATCCGCAGAACAACGGGCTCGTCGCCGCTTGCAAGAGCGCCTGCGCCGCGTTCAACTCCCCTGAGTTCTGCTGCACCGGTGCTCACGCGACGCCGCAGACTTGCTCTCCGACGCATTACTCGGCCATGTTTAAGAACGCTTGCCCTAGCGCTTACAGTTACGCCTACGACGACGCGACCAGCACCTTCACTTGCTCCGGATCTAACTACTTGATCACTTTCTGCCCATCCCGGGCTTAAACCCGGATCTCCAGTCGGATCCTTGTTTCTTTTGCTTCTTATGTACGGAAAGATTATGACTTTTATCATTTTCTTAGATTTTTTCTTACATTCATCTCATTTGCATTGTTGTTTTGATTTGTATCTACTTCATTTTACAAAGTATTGATTTTTGGGAAAAAAAAACAGAGAAAGTCGGATCCTTTGCAACAGCTTTATACATCCTAAAATATGGATTTTTGATCATTGCTTCTTGATGTACTTACATGAGAGAGAGAGCAATAACAATCTAGTGTCCAAAAGAGACGGAAGCTAACTACAAATTTTCGAACTTTTTAAAGCCACGGAATGGTGTTAAAACAAGTGACTCCGCAGACAGTTTTTTGTTAGTCTTATTTAGGAGATTTTAGTTGATGCAGTTATGATGATGATGATCACCGTTTCTGGATTTTTTAGATTTCCACTTGCAAGCTCTGTTCATTCCTCTTGCAGCTTGAACGAACCCCACAATCACCTGAAGCTCATCCATTTCCTGCAAAACCAACCAGACAGAAGATAGATTTACAAATCACAAACATATTGTGGTGTTTTGGTCCTTTTTTATATTTCAGTTGATGAAGAAGAGGAATGTTAACCTGAGACATGAAGTGTCTTTGAACAACGTCAAGAAGTTGCTCCTTTGATGGATTAGGAAGAGGATCTCCCTAACAAAAACAGATCAAACATCTAGTCAAAAGACAAGAACACACTTCCACAAGATTAGAAACAGAGTTAATGTTCTTTTTCCACTCACGAGGTTAAAATGTCGCCAATATCTCTGTAACGCAGGCATATCCAGTGTGCTAAGATCAACCTTCTGCGTTATGAAAGCCATATTTTTCCACATCAGTAACCGAAACTATTCAAGTGAATATTTCACTAAAAGAGATCTTGAGGTTAATTACCATGGTCGTACGAGGAGTTAAGCTGGAGCTTTTTGAGTGTGAGTCACAAGATACGGCCCTGCACATTGTCTTTTGAGATAACCTCGCTGATCTGTGTCCTCTTTGCTTAGACTTGTGAGGCTTCAGAGTGTCTTCAAATGCTGCAAAAAGGACAAAATCAAAGAACGTGTTTTTAAAAGCCGAGACATTGGAGAGTTGATTAATAGATTTAACAAGTAAACCAAAAACTTACTCATATCTGAAGGATTGTTGTTCCATTGTTGTGTGTGCTCGACTTCAAGATCGTTGTCCTCTTCATTTCCTGTAGGAGCTTCGATGACACTAAGCGCGTTCCTCTGCAACTTCACTTCTATTCCATTTGTCAAAACCTGAAAAACAATTAAAAGCATTATGATGATTGATTAGGCTAATAAACAAAGCAAAAGCTTGGGACTTTTTTGAGAAATGGGAATGCTGGGAGACAAGAACTGGTGGAAATTTGATATCGAAATTAGTAAAATATATGCGTTGGAGTAATGATCAAAGGAAAGGAAATTATAAATATTAAAACTAACCAAGTCCTAATCAAATGGAGAAGGTCTATAAAAGTAAAATCAAAAGCCAAAGGAGAAAAATTCGGTAGTGGATGAAAATGACACATCTGAAGAAATCCCTAAATTAATGAAGTATCAAAAAATTAGTGACAAGTAAAACAAATCTAAAAGCCAGCTTGAACCCACAAATGATGAAAAAGGGATAAGGAAGGGATTCACAAGAAAGAAAGAAAGAAAAAAAAAGTGAAAAATAAATATCAAAAGTTCAGATCGTTATGATGCAATTTAGAATAATCAATCCAATCGTTATGGTCTTTTTTGCTTTTTATCTGCGTTTAATCGATCCACTTGATTCTCCAACATCAGATTACCATTGATGTAGCTCAAATCTACTCCTTCTCTTTCAACGATTTCAGAGTGAAATCAAAAAGGGGGAAAAAATAAGACAAAACCGAGTGAAAGAAGCTAAATTTTTACTCACCAGCCAATGCCAACCACCGAGTCCGACGGCTTTCTTAACGACGCCATGAAGACCGACGAGGACGGATTTCGTACGGTTGTTTCCGGTGACGACAACTTTGGTGTGACGTGGCAGCACAGATAATTCCTCCTCGCTAGTGCAATCTCCGAAGCAGCTCTGCAGCTGAGAAAATCCTCCATTGAGGACGTTTGAGTTATCCGCAGCTTCCAGCATTTAGAATCTCTCTCTCTCCCCCTTTTTTTTCGCTCTCTCTGTATTAACTATTAACAGAAGCACCGGCTCGATTTTTTCACGATCCTAGAAACGGAAGATGGTGCATTACCGGAGGATCGAGAGAATGGAATCAGAATAGAGAATAAAGAAATCAAGGAAGAGAAAATTAGGGCTTTAATTTGGTCTGAGGAAGAAAGACAGAGTGTATGAGTAAGAGAAAGAGGGAAAAAGCAGAGTAAGAGAGAGAGAGAGAGGGAAGAGGGAAGAAGGGAGGGGACGATAGCGACCGCCTTCCTATCGAGATTTCCAATGAAAATCCGCCACGTGGATTTCGTACTGCTACCATTTGCTCTATGCAAATTGAGCGGTTTTTTTGTTTTTGTTTTATTATCAACAAAAATGGATACCATTATTTATTTCTTTTACCCAGAGGTTTTAAAACTTTTATTTTATTGTTTAGTCTATCAAATCAGTGATATCTTGACCTTAAAACATGATTTGAAATTTTGAACGAATACAACCAGTATATGGACAAGTCCTGGTTATTCGATGTTAGATTCTTTTATAAAACTGAAAATGAATAAAAACAAGGATTGAAAATACTTTTGGTTAAATCCTTATGAACGTTTTAGGTATTATTTTGTAGTGGAATCAGACTTTTTATGCTTTTACAGTGTTTAAATGGTTTGAAAAAAGAAAGGAAACGAGAGACACACTTGGCAATTTTTGTATAATGTTATGTTATACACGCAATCGACGTGAATCTGAATGGTTTTGACTGATATTTTTATTTATAAAAAAGTCAGGTGAGATGGGACCTATGCATGCCTCGAATTACGGTGATACCCCTATCATTGATTTTTTTGTTTTTTTCTGTTTCCTCTCTCGATGGATTTGAATTTGAATCACCCCGATTGTGTTGTATTGATTACTTCATCGTGTATAGTACGTCCATATAACAAAATATACTAATAAAACTATAAGTCTATGGAGTGATTCTTAAGGTATAACATTTTTTTGTATGAGTGAAAATAAAAAGACAACATTTTGTGTGTTTTGCAGTAGAAAAAAAAAATGGAGAAAAGCTAGCAAGGTAACATGGACGTAAATACGTAATCAAAAAAGCAAAACATGGTTTTGATCAAAAGTCAATATTTTGGCCTAAAAGCCAAAAATGCTATTGTCATGCAATTGTAAAGGAAAACAGCAACTTAAAAAACCGAAAAGGTAATGAAACAGTACTTAACGCTCACGGAAATTTTTATCTAGTTAAGATATAAAAGTAACATAATGATTCATCCATTTAGAATTTACAAACAAAATTTGAAACATAATCTACCTATTTCCGCTAATGCAAAACAAAAGTTGAAACCTTATAACTACAAATGCATGAAAAGGAAGCTTTTTTGTCGTTCAGGGATTAAGCGATGATTTAAAATCTGTTTAGTTAAATGTTCATTATGCAAAATTAAATATTACCGGTTCACTAATCCATCAACAAGGTCGTTGTAGTATAGTGGTAAGTATTCCCGCCTGTCACGCGGGTGACCCGGGTTCGATCCCCGGCAACGGCGATATCTTTTTTGGCCTAATTATTATTGAACCCTCTGATCCAATCTAAGAGTTCGCCTACGGGAAAGTTGCTTTTACGTTAAATGTTTGAAGGCATTTTCCGAGTTCCAAGTTCCAACGCAATATTCTTTTTATTATAACGTCATAAGTAAATGAAAATTAATTCTTTTGGTAAATGGATTATTACGTCTACGCTGTCTTAAAAAATCGGCCTATAAATATGACCGGTCTATATATTTGCAAATGTACGAAAAAGGTTAAAAAAACAACTGATAATTTAAATACCACAAAACTACTCAGGACAAAAACTGATCAATTCTTTATTTTTAAAGTGAGATTTCTATGCCAGAGAAAATTGATTTGAATACATCATTAGAATAAAGTACGGTTTACATAATTCATTATTGTTAAATAACAAAATAATCTCATTGGTTTGAATATTAAAATAAAAATAAAAATGCCAATCAGATGGTGTGTTTTTCGGTCACACAAGTAAGGGACCCACACTGAAGAAAAGGGACCTACTCTGTCTCCTCCACCTCCTCTCTTCTCTGTATTATTTGGTCATTACTCATTACACAGAGAAAAAGATAAAAGAGAAAACACACAACGTACTACTTCGAGACTACACACGCTACGCTACGCTGCTACGCGCCTCTTATCCTCTACATGTAACCACACATTCCTCTACCTACACCAGAACCCAATCTCACCCTTCGAAAAACACTGTAACTACACGTGGACGGTCGTTATTACACCAACACTGATTGTTAATGTGAACTCGCGTACTTGACACACACGACCAAAAATCAACCTTCCAGTTCCAGTTTTACTTTCTTTTTTTTAATTAATTTTTTTTGAGAAGAAAGAGAGATTCTTCTTCGATTCCAGCGAAGAAAAAAAGCGTATTCCTCGTGAGCACTACCTTCTCACTCTTCTTCTTCCTCTTCTTCAACTTCAGTCCGCGTTCACACAATCTCCACACCCAACCATCATCATCAAGCTCGGAGATTTCGAAAGGTTGGTTTTTTTTTCTTGTGAGAGGATGACGTCGGATGGAGCTACGTCGACATCAGCAGCTGCTGCAGCTGCGGCGGCGGCGAGGAGGAAACCGTCGTGGAGGGAGAGAGAGAACAATCGGAGAAGAGAGAGAAGGAGGAGAGCTGTAGCTGCGAAGATATACACTGGTCTTAGAGCTCAAGGTGATTATAATCTCCCAAAGCATTGCGATAATAACGAAGTGCTCAAGGCTCTTTGTGCTGAAGCTGGATGGGTTGTAGAAGAAGATGGTACTACTTATCGCAAGGTCAATTCCCGAAACCAAATCCCCAATCTTTTTTTCGTCAGATCTGATCTTCTCTGTGTTTAGATGAATTTCATATTCAATTGCGTTTGATTAGATTTGAATCTGATTTAAAGCTTGCTTTTTTATTTCTTGAAAGTAGCTAGATTTGTCGACTTGGTTCTATAAATGGATCTACATTTCTGAAAGTGAATTTTAGATGGGTTTCTTACTAATTCCAATCTGATATCAAATACTGTATGTGTTTTTTAAGAAGCTTTTAATCAGATTTAGAACCCCACAATTAGTACTTTCTATAACTAATGATTGTTACGCTTAGAGCTCCAAAGCATTGATCTTTATGCAAGTTTTTGTCCAAATGAACTAAAATGGTAGTTTTTGATCTTCTCTTGTCTCAGTTTTCTGATGATTCAAATCTCCAAGCTCTGCTTCTTGAGCTATTAGTGTACATTTGATCCAAAGTCTCTGCATTGTTCTTCTTTTCCTGCATCTCTGTTGTCACATTGTGATGTTTGATTATTGATTTTGTTTCTTGAGCTATTAGTATGCTAAAAGTATAACTAGTGATTGTTAGCCTTAGAGCTCCAAAGCATTGATCTTTATGCAAGTTTTTGTCTATTGAACTAAAAATGGTAGTTTTTGATCTTCTCTAGTCACAGTTTTCTGATGATTCAAATCTCCAAGCTCTGCTTCTTGAGCTATTAGTGTATATTTGATTCAAAGTCTCTGCATTGTTCTTCCTTTCTTTCATCTCTATTGTGTCACATTGTGATCTTTGATTATTGACTTTGTTTCTTGACTTAAAAGTCTTCTTTGTGACATTGTGATGGTTGATTGTGTTTTTTCTCTTTTCTTGGAGCATTTTCAGGGATGCAGACCTCTAGGAGAGATAGGTGGAACATCGTCAAGAATCACTCCATACTCATCACAAAACCATAGCCCTCTCTCTTCAGCTTTCCAAAGTCCGATTCCGTCTTACCAAGTCAGTCCATCTTCCTCATCGTTCCCGAGTCCATCGCGCTGTGAACCGAACAACAACAACAACACATTCTTCCCCTTCCTCAGAAACGGAGGCATTCCTTCCTCTCTCCCATCCCTCAGAATCTCAAACAGCTGCCCCGTGACGCCACCTGTCTCATCACCAACTTCCAAAAACCCTAAACCTTTACCTAACTGGGAATCCATCGCTAACCAGTCCATGTCCATGGCTAAACAGTCAATGGCGTCTTTTAACTACCCTTTCTACGCTGTCTCTGCGCCTGCTAGTCCCACTCATCGCCAGTTTCATCATACCCTGGCTGCTACTATCCCTGAATGTGATGAGTCTGACTCTTCTACTGTTGACTCTGGTCATTGGATTAGCTTTCAGAAGTTTGCACAACAACAACAACAACAACAGCAACAGCAACAGCCATTCTCTGGCTCTATGGTGCCTACTTCTCCAACTTTCAATCTTGTGAAACCTCCTGTGCCTCAGCAGATGATGATGTCTCCAAACGCCGCTGCTGCTGCTTTCCAAGAGATTGGTCAGAGCTCTGAGTTTAAGTTTGAGAATAATAGCCAAGTGAAGCCGTGGGAAGGAGAGAGGATACATGATGTTGGTATGGAGGATCTTGAGCTTACGCTTGGAAACGGGAAAGCTCGTGGTTGACTTGAACAACTATGGCAAAAAAACTCTGATGGCTTGTCAATGGAATTTGAGAAACTCATCTTCCAGGTATCCAAATATGCTTCACCAAGCCTTCTCCATGGAAAGTGTTTAGTGTTGTCATGAATTTGGTTTCAAAAGCATTATTTGTAGATATATTAATATGATTATGCTCCATTTACAAAATGTTATATTGATTAGTGGCTTGAAACTGTTTTTGTGACTTGTCTTGTCAAATTGGTTAGTGATGTATTCATGGCTTAAGCAAATTCTGCTTCTGAGCATCAAAATCCAAGATTTGCAGAACATACAAAATGTTATTTTTTATTAAATGTCAAATATCTAGTTAGAAAGAAAAGCACAACCAATGAACACAGCTACAACTACAAATGCTAAATTGCATAATGAATACAACAAACTCTAGTCGTCATCATCATCTTCTTAACAATCCAGTCCCTTTAGCTGATCAAACAAGTCATGGAGAATGCAGTTCGAGTTCAGTCACAGTCTCAGGGGTTCTCAGTTGTTTCTCAGTCTCAACATCACATTCTTGGTATCTGAAGCAACCTGTGAGATGATCATTGACAATGCCAGAGACCTGCAAGAAGGAATAAACAACAGTAGGACCAACGCATCGAAACCCTCTCTGCATCATATCCTTGCTTATATACTCAGCTTTAGGCGATTTAACCGGTACTTGACGACCATACCGGTAACAATTTCTCAATGGCTTGTGGTTCACAAATCTCCAACAATAGTTGCTGAATGATCCAAACTCTTGCTTCACCTGTTTTTTTTTCAGTTTTACAATTCACTAAATTTCCAACACACCAAATATTCACAATTTCTTTAGCAAATTGTAACAAACCTTGAGAACCGACTTCGCACTATCTACAATGGCTCGTAGTTTCTGTTCGGACAGAACAAGACACCCGTTTACTTTAAGAGACAACAACTTCTTCTCTGTGAATTGTGCTATAGCTGAAGGATCGAAATCTTCAAAGAGCTTCCTGTTAAAAAGAGAAAACAAAAAGCTTATGATATTACTGACACTTAGACAAAACACAAACACAAAGGAAGACATTTTTACCTGAAAGCATCTCTTTTGTGAAGCAATGAAGGCCAGCTAAACTCAGCTAAAGCCTGAGAGAAGACAAGCAGCTCAAAGAGTTTCTTGTCGTCACGAACTGGAACACCCCATTCCTCGTCATGGAACAACACGTAGATCGGGTCTGCATCATTATTATTATTAAACCCAAAAACCTTATAAAATCGATCATTTCTTCAACAGTTTTTTTTTTGTCTTTATATGCTCAACTAGTTTTTGCTGGGTGCAATTAATGTGTTGTTGACATGTACGAAACTGATTGTTACCAATAATCTTTAACACACTACAAATCTTTACATTTCGAAAAAAACATAAAAAGCAATTCACATGGCTTCCATTTTGAAGTCGATTGAAGAGATATTATTTGTGGACACAAACGAAGAAACTGGGCAAGTGTCTTTTAAATTAAATGTGCGAGGACAAGAAAATCTCTAAGTTGGGTAAAAAAATTATTTTAACAACGAAAAAAAAAAACATCTCCTCGTTATTCACGAAATGTTTTAAAAACGAAATTGTGAATTTTTTAAATTAAAGTTTAAAAATGAGGCAAAATGGGGAAAAAAATATAAAGTTGTCAGACAAAACAGACCTGAGTTAGGTGTGATCCAGTGGCATCTCTTGTCCGGTCCCGGAATTTCAGGAGAAATGTCCTTAACGGCGGCGACGGCGACGACATTATTGAGCTTCGTTACTCCGTTGCGTTTCTTCTTCGTCGGAGTGTTGATTCTCCCAGAGTTTGTCGTCTTCACCGACGAACGTTCCGAGGATGATGACGAAGAAGAGGAGTCATCAGTTGAAGCTGTAAAGTTGCTGGTCACGGACGAATCCGGCGCCGGAGATTTCGTCGGTTTCGGATGCTGTTGTGGCTTCTTCTTCGCGATCTCTGTTTTCGAAGGCCTAAATCTGTTTCCAGTCGAACAGAGGATGGCTCGTGACTCGGCCATTGGCTTAACCGGAGAACGAAGCTTAGTGACTACAGACATCTGAGAGGATGGAGATGGAGAATTCGAAGGAAATGTGAGGGTAAAATAGGAAAGAGAAAGTTGTGAGAACTGAGATGGGATCAGAGAGAGAGAGATGGAACAGAGAGAGTAGAGGAATTGGAGGTTTTTGAAAACAGAACGGTAACAAAATAAAAAGGACTTAAAAAGTAGATGTAACCGGTAATAACCGGTGATAATTTGCGTACGTGTCGTTTTTGGTTTCAGAAAAAGGACACCAATAAATGGTTAAAGTCGTGGAAATTACGCTTTTGTCATTAAATAGCGTTTTGCCGCCTGGAGTGGTATTAGTGAGAGTTAATTGTGGAGTTTAAAAGAAGTAAGAGGGTTAAAAGTTAAAACGTTAAAATAATGTTTTGGAGAATGCACCAAAGTCGTCATGCTTTTATGACTTTGACCCAAATATATACAGTAAAATTGACGAAACAAAAGTACATTAAAATTAACTCCGACCTCGAATTAACTGCTCCAGTCGCTCGTGCTCAATCACACAGCTTTTGGCTTCTCGAAGAAGTGCAAGTACAATGATTGTAAATTTAACCAAGTTGATTTGACCCCGCCTTTTTTTGTTATAAACTGTAACTAATTACATTGTTGCTTTTTAAAGTCGTTGAAAGCAAATCAAAACAATGTCAAAAATAAACACATACTAAAATTTTCATTTAGAGGTGGGCAGAGAGTCAAAGTCTAATTTGGTGAAGTGTGTCGTGTAAGAATAAGAGTGAAGGGTAAAACTGGGAACAGAAAAGCTTTAAGCAGAAGTTAAAAAAGTAAGCTTACCGTTAACAAAAAGAATCGTAAAAGCCATCCAAACACCAACTCCACCACACAACCTCACCTTTGGTCCTTAGCCTTTGCCTTTTTTCTTTCTAACGGCTAATCCCTATTTAATGGGCCTAGCCCAATTAATTATCCTAACTCCGTGCGTACGTATGATAAAAGAAAGATCTCTACTCAACAACAATCAAACAAAATTTGGTGGTGTAACATAAAGACTGCAACATCTTTTGATTCAGAACCGTAGCATCTGTACACTTTTTTTTTTATCCTTTGTGTAAAAAAAACTATAAGACTAATGAACTGTCTTCCCTTTAAACCGGTCCGAGAGTGTTGAAATGGTCCCATGCTTCCTGTATGATTGAAACCATACAAGAAAATGACTCAGATTTAATTTTATTTTTCTTAGTTGTTAAAGACATTAAACTAGTGGCAACAACAACAAAACCTGTAATAACTCGAAGACTTTCTCAGCCATGTATTTCTGGTTTGAAGAAGCACCCTTCTGTTGAAGCTTGTCTGGATGAAGGATTAGTAATGCCCTCTGGTATGATTTTCGAACTGCGTTTCCTTCTATCATATCCATTAGAGGAACTGCTTTCCATCCACTTCCAGGCCAAAGAATCTGTAAATGCAAAAAAAACTTCCACACTCATTAGTTATGCAAATGATGTATAACACAAAGTCAAAGAATGTTATCATACCTCTAATAGAATACTTACATATTGCAACGTGGACAGGAGAGACCGAATGTTTCCACTCTTTCCACTTGACCATTTGCGGATTTTCGCATCAATGTTCTGTACATGTTTGAATTTAGTATTTGAGGTAAAAGTTTTGGTAATAAACTATATTTCTTAGTAGTGTTACCTGGATTTCTTCAGCGTCATTTCTTGTTTCTTCCATTTTGTTCTCAGCTTGTGTTATATCCTCCACCTAAGCAGCACATTACAAAGAGAAACATAAGAAGCTAAGATTGAAAACTTAAAGGTTGAAGTATATAATGTGATGTTTTACCAGGAAATTTACATGGAAGGGCTCGTCTATATCCTCTGCGGTAGTATGTGCTAACAAAAGAAAGAAAAACACAGTAAGCTCAGATGTTATTTCATTGTGTAGATATACTAATCTGATACACCAATCCAAGAACTTACCTGTGCTTGGTTCCTGTCTCTCATCTTGTTCAGTAACGTTACTAGACTTGTTCTTGTTCACGCTCTCACGATCTGAATCCTTTTCCTGAGCTGCCTGTGGAGGTTTCTGATCCTGATCCTATTTACAAGCAAAAAAGAATCACAAACTACAAAACAAAACAGAGTAAATTATAGGAAGATCTTGATTTTGTGAACTTAAGTACCATGGCGTGGATATCTGGAGTCGGTTTCTTCTGTTGTTGTTGGTAAGGAATGTTGTTAACAGTTTCTTTGGGATTAGCACTTTCATGATTGATATCAGCTGCCTTGTGAGTCTCTTCTTTAGCTCTCCATCTAGAGCTTTGTCCAAGAAATTCTCCTTGACTGAAAATCTTAACAAAGTCCATCACTTTTCCTTTGACTCCATCTTTGCCAACAACTTCTGGTGCTGCTGTTGATGATGAGCTAGCGAAACCGGGTTTATCTGGTATCACGGGGCTATCCAAAGAAATTCTTGTGCCTTGTGGTTTCTTTTTGCTTCTTGAATCTCCTCCATCAGAGCTTCTCATGTTCTTCGCTTTGCTTTTACCTTTCTTCACTTCTTGATCTAAGACTATATCCTCACCTGAAAATGACAAAGAACTAAATGAAGCTTACCTAATCAAACCAAACAAACATAGACATTTCTGTGATAAACCAACCTTGTCTCTCGTCCTTATCATCTAAAAATGAATGGAGAGGCTTCACATTAGCTTGTTCAGACATGGAATCTATCTTTTCTGTTTTCTCTTCTTTTGTCTGAACACCAGAGGTCTTCTTTTCCTCTTTCAAACCAGAAAACCCATTTTCTTGTTCTCTTTCAACATCTTTACCCACTTTCTCAACTGACGTAGACCGCAAGTTACTTGGTGTTGTAATCTCCTCAGCTTTAGCCATAGAGCTCAATCTTGAACTACCCCAGATGATAACAGGAACTCCTTTATTAGGCCACTTGTAGATTGAGAAGTGAAACTCCCTGCCTTTCCCACTAACAACTTTTGGAGCAACATCACAAACATCAAACTCTGATTTAGCAGTAGAGGCAACATCAGCAGCTCTGCTCGAAGTTCTTGACAGAGGAGAGCTCGAAGTAGTTTCTTTGTTCTTGCTCAAACTACGAGTCGCTGAACCAAATGTAGGAATCTCTGTTGCTTTCATTAGTTTTGCAGGAAGACTGAGGAACAAAGTCAATATCCATTGATCAATATGATTATAAAAATAATAATCCTGTTTGAAAGTTAGTTAAAAAATAACAGACCTGAATTGTCCGGGAAACGATTCTGCTTTGTGAGGGCTGAGGATCCGAGAACCCGGAAGTGACGACCCGAACGGTTCGTTGGTCGTCTTCCTTGGCGAAGATGAAGATGATTCGTTCACTCTGAAAATATCGTCGAAGAAATCGTCAGCAGTGAAACGACGCCGGATCGATGGATCTTCGCCGAACACCGGCTTCTCGTCTCTCCCATCCCAAAAGTCCTCACCGCGATGAATCATCAGCGCGCTGTTGTCGACGATGACGTCACGTCGCCTGGTAGCTGCTTCACTGAAGCTATGTCGAGTGGCTTCGCTGTTAGCTTTTGACCGTCGTTTAGGTGGACCACCAAACACGTCACCGAAATCGATGTCCACGTCATCACCACCGCCGGACAGAACAGGTGGTGAGTTCGAGGGTAGAAGAACGGTTTCTGAGCTTGGTAATGTCTGCATAGCAAACTTAACAGAGCAAAAACAGAGATTTGCAGAGGTTTTGTTCTTAGAGAAGGATACAGAGTAAAAACAAGGCTGAAACAAATCCTTGAGAAAATGACAAAACAGAGAGTAAGTGTGGGGTTCCATTTGATTTGAAGCCACAAAAAAAAAAAGGATTTTTGGACATTACACAGAGAATCTCAAAGTCTTTCTTTGTGGATAAATCACATATACATCCAAAAACCTTAACACTCTCTTTGTCTTCCTTCTTCCATCTCTTTCTCTTTTTGTCTCTATCTCATATTTTTGTGGTCAGAAGATAATGTTTTCTTAAGACTAAGATACACGAAGTTCATAGTACAGAAGAAAAGAGAAACCAGAAGCTTAGAAGGAGAAGTGATTGTGAGTTTATAGCCAAACATGTCAGGAAGATTTTGTTTTTTTACAGCCTACGTTTTTTAAGCAGAATCTACCATTGAAGAAGATAATTGTTTTTCTTGCGTAACAAGCAACCATCTCTTTTTTATCATTCAGAACCATCAGGGAAGCTATCAAGCGCATCTACCTTGCCATTCTCGTAAAACTCAACCACACCTTGCATTCTCTCCACTTTATCCGGATGGTAATTCAAATGAACAATCACAGGCTTCAGCTTCTTCAGCTCCTGATCCTTTCTCACAGTCTTGAACAGTACCTTACTGTTCATAAACTCATACATGTCCATAACTCTCTTGGAAGCATGTAACCCTATGTATCCAGGACGCGAAGGGAAAAACAGTTCCTCGTTGAACACCGCTTGGTCCCAAGCTTCAGAGTTAGAGAGAGTATCAGAGACTCGATCGAGCAGCTCGATGGAAGGAAGAGTCGGTCTCAGGTAGAAAAACCCTGAATTGAAAACCCATATCCTCATCGTGTGAGCATACCTAGCCCAACCCATGGTAGGATCATCACTCACATCGTTGAATCCGTAAGTCGTCTGATTGTCATGTCCATCGCTCATGGACTCAACATCAGAGTCTCTGTAGAGATGACCAAGAAAAGGGTTCTGCAAGAAGAGGATATCCACATCGGAGAGAAGAACAGAGTAGCCAAGCTGCAAGAACTCTCTCAAGACTCGGAATTTCAAACCGGAAACGGCGTGGTTTCCTCCGGTTTCACCGACTTTGTCAACGGTTTTGTCTGGATCTCTTTTGTAATACGCGACTCCATTCGACTCGCAGAAGCTCTCCATTGAATCATCCAACCCCACGACGAGGTAGTTTTGGATATTAACTCTCTTCACGCTAGCGATCTGCAGCTCAAGCGTTGGTTTCACGTTTGAGTTTGCAAGAACCACAATGATCTCTTTGTTGATAGACACTCTCTCTAACAGCTTTGCTAATCTCGGGTTAACAGACTCGTCCGGGACCACGGTTGGGTTAGTTCGGAGACTCTTGACTGTTCCGAAAGGTCCTGCCTTTATCTCTGTTCCCAAAACTGAGACTTGTTTTCTTGCGTTCTCTGTGCTTTGTTCCGCTAAACGTACCTTCTCTGTTAGCTCTCTGACTTGTTTCTTTAGCTGTGCGTTGGTTTCAGAGATCAATGCGAAGTTGTATTTCATCATTTTGACCCGCTCAGACGATTCGCATGAAGCCGATCCAACCTGAGAAAAACAGAGAAGAAACAGAGTAAATGATGAAATCTCACCACTTAAACAGAGTGATTCTCACACAAGATTACATGCAGATTGTGAATCCTCACAAAAAGAAAGAGACATCCTTTAATTCAGATCATAAATCGAGAGGTACAGATACATGCATTTATATTTATGGTATAAGATCTAAAGTACCTTGGAGGTCGAATTCGTGTTTGGTGTGGACGATGATCCCGAGTTGTAGAAGCCGTTGGGGAACAAGACGGCGCAGATGCAGCCGAAGAGGATTCCGACGAGGATGGCGGTCGCAATTCGAGATCGGAGGAGTTGTTTCGTTCTCTCTCTACGACCGGCCATTGCAATTGCCATTTTTCTGATGCAGTAAGCCAAAATTTGATAAACCTTTCTTCTCTCTTCTGTGATCAACATCTGGAAAGTTTAATCTCTAACCATTGATTTGGTTTCCTTAATTATCTTTACTTATGATTTCTATTTATTAATGTTTGTTCCGTTTGTCCATTTGATTGATTTGTTTTTTCATTTAATTAATTATATTTTACGAATTTATGCAATGACAAAACAATTATTTCCAAAATTTATCTTTAACTTGTTTGAGCAGCTGACTGTGTAACTATAGTTGTTCTTGGTCAAAGGTCATATTAACATACCAAACTTAAATGGAAATGAAATACATAAAGTGGTTTTGGCTACAATAGGAACGGTCCAGATCATTACATGTAGAGGTTAGGCAAAATTGCCAAACCCACACCACACAGATTACTCTTTACACCTCAAATCCACACCACTCAGAACTAAAATTGTTACCTTTTTTCAAGTATTCAAAAAGCATTTGTAATCACAAAAGATGATTCATTTATAATGCCTAAGCCTAAGGAAGATTTTAAAGGAGTCAGCAGAAACCTTTTCCTATGCAGTTGAGACATCGTTGTACCCTGCAAGTAACAAAACAAAGAAAAACCAGATTTTCAGTACGAGAATACTTTCTTGTCTTGTCTTGTCTTGTCTTGACATACTTTTGTTCTCTGTTTTAGATATGCAGTGAGAAACAAACAAACCTGTGACCATCGCAAGTAGGGCAAAGACAAGGATTGATGCAAACTGGATCATACAATGGCGACCATTTTATCGTTGCGTCTCCTTTGCATAGTTTGCATATGTAAAACCCTTTTCCACGACACCATCTACAAGCCAACAATCCTCCGTTTTTCCTCTGTTTCTCCTCGACAGTATATCGAAATGCTCCCATGGCCGCCGAGGAAGCCACGTTTACGATCACTAGTCCTCCTACGATTACGCCTGCGGTTTTCCCCAGAAATCGAATCGGCTCTATTGGCATCTCCGATTGTGTTCTACACTCTCTCCGGAATTTCGTCGAACAGGTTGCGTGCGTTGTTTTTACCTCACAAACTTCTTCACCCAAACCCTCGTTTCAGTTACTTATATCACAGAATAGAAGAAACGAAATGGGGCTCATAGATTTCTAGCCTATTAGACTTTTTCCCGCCAGATAAACGATCACAAAATCGGTGATTTTAGGAGATTGAGGAGTTACAGAGTCTCGTTGGTCTACAGGATGAAGAAGAAGATAATGAGTGATTGTCGTATGTTTTGACCATTTTGCCCTTTTAATTCATTAGGAAAAAAAATCCGAAAATAGATCTCTTAAATCCGTGGCCAACTTAACAAACCGAAATACACATTAACCGGATCAAACCGGAAACAGAGCATTTTTTTTAACTGGAGATCCTAGTAAAGAGAAGATGAGCACCATTTTGAGGCTGCAATGTCACAAGCAAGACAGGAGCATGGACATAACTTGGAGACAACCTGAAACTGTAATGCCTCAAGATCGTAGCAATTACCATTTTGGCCTCAACCACCGCAAGATTCTGCCCCACGCAAGTCCTACCACCTAACCCAAACGGCACAAGCAAAGCTGACTCTTTCCTCCTTGGATCTTCAAACCTCCCCGGATTAAACTCCTCCGCGTCGTCTCCCCACGTCTCTTTATCGTGCTGCATCGCGATCACCGACAAGTAGAGCTGTGTTCCTGCAGGAACCTCAACATCTCCTAGCTTAGCTCTGCTTAGCGTGTCACGGTTTAGCGTCATCGCTGGAGGGTAGAGCCTGAGCGTCTCATTGATTATCATACCTAGCTGTGTTGTTAAGAATCAGTCTCTTAAAAGTTGAAACCATTCTTTGATTTAGACCTAAATGACTTACAGTTTTGAGGTCTTGTAAGATGTCTGGAGTGGTTTCAAGGACACGTGTAACTTCTTCCCGAGCAATGTCTTGCCATTTTTGGTGCATAGCTAAAAGCACTAAAACCCAAGTTATGAGATTCCCCGTTGTCTCCTTAGCTGCAAAGTAGAATGTTTTGCATTCGTCTATAACTTCTTCAATCCCAAGCTTCTCTTCTTCACCGTTCTGATTCGTGTAAGGAGACATAAACGCCTGAAGCAGAGTCCCTCCTGATGTGTTGTTGTCATTATTTTCAATCAGTATCAAGATAGAGCCACGGATCTGTTTCTCGACCTTCCACAACTCTCTGTTTGTCTTTGAAGGGAAGAATCTAAAACCAGGGACGTAAACACTCCACCGAACACGGTAGAAGAGACGCATCATATGCTCCTGCAACGCAAAGATCCGTTTCCCTTCTTCCTCCATGCTGTTCCCAAACGCTGTTCTTGATAACATCTCCGCAGACAAACTGTGCATCTCTCTGTGTACCTCTAACTCAATCTCTTCTTCTCCGTTTCTCTTCTCTTCCCACTTCTCCATCAACACCATCGTACTCTTCACCATCTCTGGCACCCACCTCTGTACAAAAGATCTCACCTTTACTCACAAAATCAACCAATCAAGTAACTTTGGCAAACTTAAATCTACACTAGACTGATTCCATATATAGCACAAACTACACTAGACTCTGTTCAAAGATCTCTGGCACCCAATTCTGTTCAAAGATCTCACCTTTACTCACAAATCAACCAATAAAGATCTCACCTTTACTACACTAGACTGATTCCATTGATGTGTTGTTACCTTGACTTTGCTCATGGTGAAAGCTTGAATGGCGATTCGACGATGATAAGACCATTGCTGGCCTCTAAGACCAGGAAGGCCTTGAGCGTAGAGCAGCTTAGACAAAGGGTTGTGAACGATTCGATCAAACGAACCGGTCACCGTCAGAGCTTCCCGGATAAGACTCGGATCCGACGTGGCGACGACCGGTTTAGACCCGAACCAGTAGAGGAACGTCTTCCCGTAGGCGAGTGACCAGTCGTGGTAGTGAGGCGCAACACGGTGGACGAACTCGTGAGGATTGTCGCCGGAAGGAATCGGCTTTGACTTCGCCTCCGCCGTTAATCGGCTCACCTCGGAAGAGTTTCCAGTGAATATCCGGTAACGAGGACCCGTCAAGCCCTGCCTTTTGAAGTGTGATTGGATTCTCCAAGGGATCCAGAGATTGCTGTAGACGAATCTGAACACAAGAACGAAGAGAAAGACGAAGAAGAGATAATGGAAGATGAATAACACTGCCATTGTTTGACTTACTAACCCCAAATCTCTGCTTCAGTTCCATTTTATTGAATTTTTATATTATATAATATGTATTCAAATATCATTTTCCATCTGCATTGAGAGATTGATAGAAGAGATATGGCCGGAGAAACAGAGCTACCGGTAAAAAAGTTCGTTTTTTTGCCGGGGTTTTTTACACAATACAAAAAATTTCAAGCGTTGACCGGTAAAAAAAGGAAGCATAACCGCCAAAAACATACCGGAAGATGGAAACAACAAATAAAGTCTTTAACTTTCGTCGTCTAAAGCTTTGTTACCACCAAATAAGCTCTCTCTTCTTTGACCGAACCCACCAGAATCAAGAGAATTACAGGTAGCTAACAAGATATGGCCGCCGGAGAAACAGAGCTACCGGTAAAAAAGTTCGTTTTTTTGCCGGGTTTTTCACAGAATGCAAAAAGTTTCAAGCGTTGACCGGTAAAAAAGGAAGCATAACCGGAAAAACAAACCGGACGATGGAAACAACAAAAAAAAAAGTCTTTAACTTTCGTCGTCTAAAGCTTTGTTACTACTACCAAATAAGCTCTCTCTTCTTTGACCGAACCCACCAGAATCAAGACCTGACGCACCACCACGATACTTCATCTCCTGTGGGGTTGTTCTGTAGTTAGTACTGGTATCAACCGGAGCTCTGGACCTCGGGTCGTTAGAGGCAACTGATCTGTAAGTACCAGCTGCTGCTCCGGGAGGGTACCGAGACGGAGAAACGTATCTTCTTCTAAGATCCATGAGATCATCATTATTTCCCCTAGACGGCTCAGCGAAAGAAGGTACTGTCGTGGAGGAGGCGAAAGGATCGTCTGGTCCCCAAGCAGTGAGAGACTCTTTCTTCTTAGCAAAGAAATGCCACGCGGCGAACAGAAACAGAATGAAGAAGAAGACAGGACTGCTCCAAAGCATTGTGTTGAAATCTCCTTTTGTAACCGGAAGCTTTGACTTGTACGTAGCTATGTAACCGTCTCCTAAACCCATCACAAGAAGCTTTTCCCGGTCGCTGGCTATCAAAGGTGTTACCTTTTCCAATCTCCGGTGGTGGTGATTGGTTTTAAACGACTCTCGTTGGCTCAAGAACGTCGACCTGATGTCCTCCAACGCCGCCGGGAAAAGAAGCCGAGGACCGGTGGTTCTAACGTAATGCTGAGTCGACACGTTGTACACAAAGACTTTCTCTTGGCTGATCACAAGAAGATACCCTTTGATGGCTTGCAACGCGACGGGCTCTTCCATTTGGAACTTCTTCTTCGACCTCACTCTGCATTTGAAGTTCATGATGTCTCCCAAAAGCAACACGTGGATGACTTCGCCTTCCGACGTGAATCCGTAGGCTTTGGACCGCTCCGTCGCGTCGAAAACGTAACTTCTCGCTAGAGAATGGTTTAAGCCTTCGCACTCCGATTCTCTGATCTTCATGCTTCTTAAATCCAACGAGCCAGCTCCGGTCTCGGTGAGAAACAGCAGCCTCTGCTTCAAGAAGACAAGCGGTCTGCTCGACGGGGTTACAGAGCCGTAAACCGTTCTGTTCTCGGTGAAAACCGTTAGCTTTCCGGTTAGATCCGTCGCCAATATATACCTAACCCGACCCACATGGTGCACTTCTAGCAGAGTCACTTGCAAACCGTCCTCCGTGCCGTCGAACTTGCCGACGTTTTCCATCGCGGCGGAATTCGAATCTTCTTCACGGAGTCTATGCAACAAAACGACTCCGTTTTGATGGCCGGTCACCACAAAGCTCTCGTTTTTATACACAGACATGTAAGAGACCATCGCCGTGATCGGCGAATCGCAGGTGGTGTGAAACTCGACCAAGACGTCACCGTTTCGGAGGAAGACGTAAAGTCTGCCGCTTGAGTCCCCGACTGCGAAATACTTGCTTAGACCTTCGTGATCTCGGAACGGCAAGACGTTGATACAGGTGGCGTCGGAGTTTAGTTTCACGGCGGATGTGAATTCGAATCTCTCTGACCAGAAAGGACTGTACTTTGTCACGGAGAACGCCTTGGCTTTCTCTCGAATCCCTTCTTCCTCTTCTTCTTCGATCTCGTCACGGCTGATGATCTCTTTAAACGGAGTTTCAGATAACCTAGCTTCTAATCTAGCAACTACTTCCGTAAGATTCCTAACGAGTTCCTCTAGTCTATGCAATGAAACACTTTGCCTGTCGGATTCGACTCCCGGAGAAGCAACTGGGTTCTCGTAAGGAATCGGATCGGACTCGGAGGCGGCGACGACCGGAGATGTATCCGAGTAACACGGAGATAGGAAAAGCAAACTAACCGATACAAAGAAGGAGAAGCAGAAGATAAAAGACTTGCCGTTTGGAGAATCTGCCATTTTAGAGGGTGGAAGAAAAGGAAGCAGAAGAGTCTCTCTTTCTTCCTGAGATTAGTGAGTAACCGCCATTTGTGCAGATCTATTGGGAATTCGGATCTGTAAGGAAGAAACTTATCCGGTCGGAATCTATCTGAGATTTTCTTTTGGAAGTCAAACAAGATATAAAGTTGTCTTAATTTGTGATCTCTGTGTCCGAAACTCTCTGGTCTTCTTTACTTTCAGTCTCTCAGCGTAAGCTAATTTCCTCAGATTCTAATTTGGGACAAAAGAAGTTTTCTTTCTTACAAAAAGGTCGAGAATTTTTTTAAATTGTTTAATTTTGAACAAAAAGGTTTAATTAATTGTTAATGACGTTAGTTGATTGATAATGTCATACTTTACTTTGAGGTGTGAATTAAAGATAACATAAAGCTTTGTGAGACATGATATATGAGTAACTGCAATTATACTTGGCTTTCTCTATGTCTCTCTGAAATATGTGATGAGGAAAAGGCCATAACGACAACCCCTACCGCCGTTTTGGGCGGCCAAACAAACACAAAGCGACACGATCAAGCGATTAACGTTCACCACACGTGCAGTTTCATTGCCACAGGTGGGAGCCAGGAGGCCAAACTTCTGTTTTTAACTTGCTTCATCTCTTTCCCTGTAAAACAGTACATTAGATCAAAAACTGTAAAATTGATTTCACAATAATATTTTTGATTAGAGGAAAAGGTGTTTACTTGTGGAGTCGTCTTAACCTGTTTTTTATCCAATTTGAAAGCAGCAAATATAGACTCAGTGTGGCTGCTGCTTATCACTGTCTCGCCTGAAGTGAAGCAAGTTTTCTTCGAAGACATCTTTAGAATCTCGTACAGTGTTGTTCGTTGCCTCTTGCTCGTCTCCTCCTCCACCGCGGTTGCTTGTGATGTTACTGATGATCTCTCCTGCGACTGTGAGGCGGTGAATTTCGCCGGAGCTCTTCTTGTTCGGCTCTTTTCTTGAGTGATCTGCCAAATGTTATGCAGATAGTTACACCACAGTTGAACATACAAGAAATCTTGATGGTTGTTTTGTTTCATAAGAAAGAGAAAGAGAGAGAGAGCTTTACCGTTTCTGGAACCGAAGGTTCTTCTGGCACTGACTTTGAGCTTTTGCTGTTACTGTCATCACGTTCGAATATATAGCCACGTACAACGTTTGATCCGCGCTTGCGAGATCCTTCTGACATTGAACTCTTTGTAAGTCTACCCAAGAACGACGACTGCAAAAGATTCATGGCATGAGTAAGTTGTAATTTCTTTAACTAAAGTCTTAAAGAGTGACGTCTCTACGAACTTTATTGGTACATGAAGGTAACTGAAGAAGGCTTATACCTTGGATGCAGCGGGGTTTTTGTTTATTCCCATGAGTGCCTTCTCTTTAAGAGCTGAAAACAATTAAACAAAGAGGTTATAAGCAACTGAACCAAAGAGCTGATTACATGTAAAGAAAGAAACTCGGATGGTATCTTACATGAAGGTTTTGCTTTCTTTTGGATCTCAGGCTTCTTAATGTAGCGAAGAATTTCCTCAGAGTTTTCATCTCCGATAGCTGATGAAGACTTGTTCTTTAGCTCCTGTTCCAAACAACAATGAGTCAGATTTTCACATGGCATAGCACAAGCAAAATATCAAACAAAGCTTTTCAATATAAATTATGGAGGAACTACCATTTTCCTGTATAACCGCTGTTGAAGGAGCTTCTTCTCCATTTCCTCATCGTCGGATGACACATAAACGTCATCTTCATCTGTGAACATCAAAGGGATCATTTCCTTTATTTTCTTTATGTTCATCCGCATGGAATTTGCATGACTCGGATCTTCTTCGTCTTCATCTTCATCTTCACTGGCTATAGGTTTTTGTACTTCTTCATCATCACCACCATCACCAGCCCTCTCTTCATCATCAGCATTGTCGTCTTCATCTTCAGACAATGATGTTTCCTCCTGCTGCAAGCCATGTTTTAGCTTCTGTAAGAGCTTCTCTGTCCCTGCAGCATCCTGTTGCTCGAGCCACTTCTGATGCAGTTCGTCACGTCTGTCCTTATCAGCTGGATCTTCCTTAAATTGGCTAACAATCATATCCACGAGATCATCATCATCTTCTTCATCTTCGTCTTCTTCCTCACCATCGAACCGGAGTAAATCGTTGTCGCTGTCATCTTCCTCTTCAGCGTCCTCGTCAATAAATTTTCTGACAGGGTCGCCAGGAGGTGAATCTTGGGTCTCCTCATGATCAGAATTTTCCTTAATGTGCTCAGCTTCTTCAGAACAACTGCAGTTGTCAATAAGTTATTGCTTAGAAAGCATCCCTAAGAATACACTATGTCACAAAACACAAGCGATTCATGTACTGAAACTAACACCAAAATATATTATGAACAAATGAAGACTGTTATGTGAACCTTTCCAATATGTAGAATGTTATAGCTGATTATAATTTCGCATGTAACTTGATCTAAAACTAGACTCACTTGTCAGGTGCAGGAGTCAGGTTCAGTTTGAGGTTCTTGGCAAGTACGGATGGTGTCATTACTTCTTCCGTAGATCTGCTTGACGTCTTCTCTGGAAGTTCATCTCCAGAGTTAGTCGTTTTACAACGCATGGATGGATCCTAACAACAACAGAAACAAAGAGAGTCAGCTTTAAATCTGATTCTACTAACTGTAGCTTTTGAACATCTGAATCAACTTAGCATTTGCAACCGAATAAAATGATTTAGCAGGTTTGTATAGTAGCTACAGTTTAAAACCCCAAACGTTTGAACTTAGTACATTCAAATGTCGCACACAACGTTAATAAAGGACCTCAGAATCCAAAATCAAATCAACAATGCAGAAAACAAACATCTTATATGTGCAAGTGAGGAGGCTCACCTGATGAGTAGCGTTACTTTCAACTTTTTTGTTAGAGGGACTGCCTGAGTTCGTCGATGGACCTGCAGAGTCATCCACACAATCCTCTCCTCCATGACTTTGCTTGCTTGTAAATTTCAAATTCGTATCTTCATTCATCTCTTCGATTACAACTTCCTCAAAATCATTCTCATCTAAACAGTCACATAGGTCGATAAATTTGGACTTTTTCCTGCTAAGGAATCTGCCAACAGCATAAAGGATAACACACAAACAAGGTTACTAAGAAGGGAACTATGGTGAAGAAGTAGTCAAAGAGATATATCAAACTCACTGTTTTGAAATCTCCTCTTTTCTTCGTCGAATTTTCTCCAAGACGGACGAAATAGGTTTCCGAACAAGAGGGGCGGGTTTAAAGGCAGCTTCTCTAGTTTCTATCATGAGAAGAAGGAAACAAGACACAAATCAGCACCAAGCCAAAAGACAATTTTTGCAGAAGACGAATATGTTGAGATGTTGTACCTCGCAAGAGTCTCTGGTTTTCTGCACGAAGCTGGTCAAGATACTCTCTTCTTTCCTGTGGAAGAACGAATATCAGTAACAGTAACACCAAGTAAGCGCAAAGATAGCTCAAGATGAAATAGAGAGTTGCCTTCTTAGTCATGTTCATGGAAGAAGTAGAGATTGGGAGCTCATCGAAATCGACACTCGTTTTGTTCCTCTTCTTATTTCTCTTCCTCTCCTTTCCCTCGCTATCACTGGTTTCGAGGACTGGTCGTCGCTTCTTTCCAGCTTCCTTCGTTTCCGAAACACTAAATTCCTCTCCTGAATCCGACTCGGAGATCTCGTCTTCGCCTTTCTCGCCCGATTCCTCAAATGCGGAATCAAACTCAGGCCCGCTCGTCTCGAAACTCGGCTGCGCCTTTCCAGCTTCCTTCGTTTCCGAAACCCTAATTTCCTCTCTTATCTCCGAATCAGAGATTTCGTCTACACCTTTCTCGCCCAAATCTTTAATCGAGGGGTTAATCTCAGGCACCGAATCAAAATCGAGAATCTTCCTCGCGGTAACTCCATCCTCCACACCCAAACCCTCGAGATCGGATCGCAGCCCGTCTTCTTCTTCAGACCCATCGAAATCCTTCGCAGACTGCAATCCAGGCTTCCCCAGATCTTCGTCACCGCCCACTTGGGTTTCAGATCCAGGACATAAATCGGAGATCGATGTAGCCCTCTTCAATCGCCTTAGCATCCTGTTTGGAACTGGGACGCTCGATTCGCCGATAGGAGAAAGCTGCTCGTCGCTATCCATCTCCGATTGTAATCTCCGGCGAAAATGATAAGTACTCTAAACTAAACGGTGCCCGATGGATCTTTTCGCAAACGAAAAGGGGAAATGTTATATCGATTGAGAATTTTGGCGCTCGAAATTTTAAAATTTGCCGCTCTATTTTCTGCTCGTGACTTGTCACCATTAGGTCCATCACAGAAATAAATGGAAAATCTCAAAAGTTACTAATATAATTTGGCGCTCTATTCTTCGCCACATACAAAGATGTACAGATTACGTAATTTCTGGTCGGATCATAATTTAAGTAACAAGAGATGGTCCGTTTTGACATGAACAAATAATATTTTAGAACACCAACTGGATTTAATTGCGAGTAAAGAAAGAGATTCGAAAAACATTGGTCTCCTGCCTAACCACTCCGATTGTATATGTTAGATCTTATTCCTCAAGTATTATAAAGTCTCCCACGTATATATGCAAAGCACACTACCATAATGTATATATTTCTATGTAAACATATATTCGTAAGCGAATTAATATACATGGATTGTCAACGTTTTCAGAGACATAAAGGCGTGAATTCGTGAATATGTCACATCAGTATAAGGATAATATGTAAATGAACACACACGCATAGAGATTAGATGGATCCTCCTGAAATCGTGTCCTCACGATAGCTACGAGCAAGGAGCACCTTAGTTATATATAAAAGCCGGCCAACAGAAAACGAGAAGAACAAAATCAATAATAGTTATTTTTTTCCCCTAGTTAATCCTCATGATTCTCAAAAATCTATCAATCTTTCTCCCGTAATAAAATTTCGGAGAAAGAGGAAAACCCTAATCCCCTCTTTCTCTCGGATCATCAGGAAAAATTTAGTAAAAAAGAGTTTAAATAAATATTATAAAATGAAAATGAGGAAGCTTTGTCCGAATTTGGACAGGGAAGATGGGCTAGAGACGGTGTTAGAGGTTCCGGTGCCGGAAGAAATGTTTACGAAGATGGGAAGCAACGCTACGGGACGGTGGAGGAATATGCACACTCTCATGAAGGCACACGCCGTCGTGACCGCAGTCGCTGCTGACGTCAGAACGCCCGCATCTTCATCGTCGATGAGTAATGTCAATATGCATTTGCAGTCAAAATCAGACAACGAGTTTGTGGCGTTGTTGAAGATCGTGGGAAGCCCTCTTATTCCTTTTCACGTCCCTCTTGAGTTCTGTCTCTCCCGACCCATCAATGACACTTCCATCGTACGTATATATAATTATGTTATCTACTTTGTGTTTTGAACGTAATTCTTATTGGTCTTGCTAAATTTTTTAGGTTTTGGATATAGATTCTTCGAGGACTTTATAGATGTAATTCAAGTTTTATGTGAGGTTTAGGTATGAATTTATGTTTTTAGAAATTTAAATCATGAGATTAGCCTAGAAACTCCCTACTTTTCAAAGAAAAAGGTATAGAGAGATCAAATGTGTAACAAAATGACAAACGTCACAAACATGATAGAAATGTTTTCTCTTTTTCTTGGTATGTTTTTTATATATGTAGCTGATCAAACTAAATTTCAAATTTTACATTATAACCCACACTATAGAGGAAACCTATAATGTTGATAGTAATGGTGTGTTTGTAGGAGGCATCGACGGCTAAGTACATAGTACAGCAATACGTGGCGGCGTGTGGAGGACCAGCCGCTTTAAACGCGGTAAAGAGCATGTACGCGGTGGGGCAAGTGAGAATGCAAGGCTCCGAGATGGTTGCTGGTGAGGACGAAGGAACAACGACTACGCCAGTACGGCTAGGAAAAGGCAATTTCGAGGTCGGAGGTTTTGTCTTATGGCAGAAGAATCCAAACCTTTGGTTCTTGGAGCTGGTTGTTTCCGGTTTCAAGATCAGCGCCGGTAGTGACGGCAAGGTTGCTTGGAACCAATCATCAACCCAACCTTCTCAGGCCCACCGTGGCCCTCCTCGCCCTCTCCGCCGGTTTTTTCAGGTACACACATTTCAAACTCTAACCATTGCATGTTTGTATTTAATCAAATATATACATTTTTGGTGTTATAAACGTAGCCAAGCCAGTCCAAATAGCTATATCAGAGTTTCAAATTTATCACTTTGGCTACTATGCAAGATTTTTGATACTATGTAGTTTATGTGTTAACATTTGTTTGTTTGTTATAATGATAAGCAGAGTATATATCAAATTAAACATTTTGGTTACCAAGCAAGATTCTGAAATTACGTAGTTTATGTTAACATTCTCATTATTGATTCAACATTTGATCACCATAGACTAAATTTATATCATTTTGTTTTGATTAAATCGAAGCTACGATTTTTTTTTGTTTTTATCGCAAAAATTTATAGTTTCTACGTATTTTGACTTGTCAAATGACACGTGGCGAGTTTATAGTTTCTACGCATTTTGACTTGTCAAATGACACGTGGCAGGGACTAGACCCAAGGTGCACGGCGAGTCTATTCCTAGACGCCGTATGCATCGGCGAACAGAGCGTTAACGGCGATGACTGTTTCGTCCTAAAGCTGGAGACTCCGGCAGATATTCTCAAGGCGCAGTGTTCGCCGAACACGGAGGTGATCCACCACACGGTGTGGGGATACTTCAGCCAACGGACGGGACTACTCGTCAAGTTCGGCGACACAAAGCTCGTTCGAGTCAAATCAGTTAGAGGCAAAAGCGACGGCGTTTTCTGGGAGACAAGCATGGAGTCAACCATCGACGATTACAATTTCGTTGACTCTGTCAACATCGCACACGGCGGTCGAACGTTGACAACGCTGTATCGCTACGGCGGTGCGGTTAATCACCGGAGACGAATCGAGGAGAAATGGCGAATCGAGGAAGTCGATTTTAATATCTGTGGACTGTGTTTGGAGAGCTTTTTGCCACCGTCGGATATCAACAATGATCACTAGTTAACGGTCGATATCGTTTAGATGTTGTTTTGTAAAAAAATCCGTTAAATCCTAATGGACCATACTTCGATGGGCCAAGTTATTTATTCTCCAGCCCACTAAGAGAATTTCTTCAAGTCGGTTTAAAGCGAAACCCTAGTACACGAACATCTCCGCAATATAAATATCGACAAATCCCAATTCTTGAAAATCAACCGATCTAATACTTTCAATCAGCTATCAATTCTCTTCATCGTTTTCATCGATTTTTGTATTTTGATATCGTTTCTGCGTTGTTTGTGAACACTGATTGATTCTTTCGATTTTGATGGTTTTAATTGCATTTGTTTATCTACTTCTCTAACCAAGATTTTAATCACAAGAATGGTAGAGGAGTTAAATCAGGTGCATAGATAGATTAGGTTATCTTACCAACCCATTGCTATTTCTTTTGCATTGGCGTCAAATGAATCGACCTAAATTTCTTCTTTTTTAATTTATCGATTTTGTTTTTTTTGTGTGTAATTGTATGGCATATGAAGAATTGATTAATTTATGCTTAAAAACACAGATTTTCAGTGTTGATAAACCATCTCCGCTTATTGTCTGATGCCATACCTTACCACAATTCTTATGCAATCAAAATTGTTTTTTTTTTTTGGAATTTTAAGAAATCAATCAGTGATGAGATACTAGCAGACGGGCGGTCTGAATTGATGCCGTGTAGATTGTCTGTCATCTCTACTACTAAGTAGCTTCTCTGAGAACTTGATTTATAAAAAAATTGATTTTGTTTTTGGTTTTTGATGGTTAGTGTGTTTTTGGCGATGATGATGTTGCTCTATTATGTCTGGACATATGAGATTATTCAATCTTTGATCTGACTTTGCAAACTATTCTGAGCTCTTGTCGATAATATTCCTTAGCTAAGCTCTTTGTTTTAACAAAAAAGAATTTGTGCAAAACTATACAATAGCACGTCTGAATTTAACGAACGACTACATATGTAACACACATGTTGACCTTCAACAATAATTGAGCAGAATAACTAGCAAGAATGAATAAAAAGTTTGTACGAAATGAAATTTTTTAACGAAACGTTAATAACAAAATTAATAATATTTATAACAGAGCATTAGACTGTTAATATCATTTAACAACGAAATTGAACTGTCACTATAGAATATTCACAGTGATTATTACTCAGATTTTCAAGATTAGGCATATGGATCGGCTTTCGGCCGGGTAGTGGTTAATTTCAGATTGTGATTGGGTTTAAACACGGTTTTTGACTGGATTTAACCCGTTTACTGTTGGTTGTTATATAATAAACCGTTAGAACCATTTTTTTTTTGGATAAATAGGTTTCGAACTATCGTTTCATATGGGTTACTGGATTTGGAAGTATGTTTTTGTGGAGAAACATGTGTAGAGAACTTTTATTTTATGTGGATTTAGACCGAGACCTTAGTTTGACTTTGATGTAGAATTGGTTCGTTACGACAGTTATGGTGAAGAAATAGATCGTTTACCCGCCATTTGAATTTATAGGTTATGTAACATCCAAAGTTATAGGCCAAAGTTATATAGGTTATGTAACATCCAGAGTTATGAAATTTCACTATGAAATTCATCCAAAGTGATGTAACATCGCTTGAAGTAAATCTATAGAAAGAAAAAACACTAACTATTAGACTATTCCCTTAATTGTATTTTCGGAGGCATCATTGGAGATAAATAAACAGAAGCGCAAGAACAAGAAATGAGATTACATGTCAGCTCTTTTCCTTTTGCCTCCTCCCGCTTGCTCGATTTGAACCAAACTCGGAACATAATTAAGGATAACTGCATAACATCCATCCGTTGTCTCTAGTCCAAAATCCACCACCGTGGCTTCATTGTCCTCCCCAACAATGCATATAGTGTCCTTGTCAATGGTCTCGGTCTCGTCTTTCAAGTCAATCCAATGCGCAGAAATCACGGCGACTTTCTTCTCCTCGTCGAGCAAGTAGCTACTTCCCCAAAAAACCTGAAGATCAGGGCTCAGATCCAATGCCCAGACCAAGCTCCACGACACCACTTCCGGTGTCCTCTCATCAACCTTATTACTAACCCATATCTCAGTCTTGGATGTATCTTCGGCCCCCTTTAACAGCACCGAAAGTTTCTCGTCCTTCACAACGGAAAGACTCACAGTTCCAAAAAAACTAGACGGATAGGGAAGAGCCACAGGCACAAATTTCTCTGCTGAGTAATCGAATTTGATCAAGGACACGCTCTGTTGCGTTTTCGTTTCATCTGTAGCGAACGAGTAGGTACTTCCCTTCAAAGACACGTAGATACCCGTGTATCCAAGGCTCCACCCTGGAGCTATGATCTCATCAACAACCCTCCACGTGTCCGAGCTGAACTCGTAGATCTCGTAATCTCTCTTACGATGATAAAAGCTCAAAATCTTGTAGCTCTTATCCTTGCCGTATCCGAGAACAATGTTGCGGCCTTTCACGCCCTTATTGCTGGGTTGGAACCACCTGGTCTCGCCCGTAAACAAGTTCCAGACCACGAATCTAGATTTGTCGGCGGCGGTGCATAGCAAGAGGCCGTCACAGTGAAACACTACGCCTACACGGAACTGAGCACCTGGATACTTGAACCCACAGTGTAACACTGCGTCTACATCGACCTGAGCAGATGCGTGATCGAAGGAGAATTGAAACGGTATGTCTACATCGAATCGAGCAGCTGGATGCTTGGGGTCGACTAGGCTAAGCTCGCTTTTCAGCTCGAAAGATGGGATTTTTCCGTCGAGATCGACGATTGCCGGACAAATCCTGTAGGCCCGAGTTAACATGAGAACCATAAACTGCTTTGCGGCTTTCTCGGCGTGCTTCCCTGCGAATCTCCGGTCATCGTTAAACAAGCGGTTCCATCGTTTACAAGTAGATCCCAGTCCTCTCAGATACGTCGCCGGAACATGAGTCAGTATCTCGTCCTCTATCAAATCCTTTGGAAGATCTCTGAATATCTCCATCGTCGATGGTAGCGGCAGAAAGACGGCGGATCTGAAATCGAATCTTCGGGGTCACTTTTATACCTTTCCTCTTCACCAATTTCTAAATAATGTCGTAAATTTTTAAAAGGAAAAAAGTAATTAAATTTAACGACAAAGAGGAATTAGAGAGATAATCAAAGTATGACTTGGAAGCCACAAAGTACACCACAGTAAAAAAGTCACTCTTTTTTGTAACTTCAAACTCAAAAAGCCCTTCTTACTCTAATTCTCTCCATGAAAAGTTGTATGAAGATTATTGAAACACATACTCAATGAGTCAATGTGCGAAAAACTCTCAATGAATAGCTGAGAATCTTGTGTTTCAAATTCAAACGTTACTATCGTACACACCTTTACTAGTCTTGCATCCTTTTTATTCCAATCTTGATGTAAGTAGTGTAATAATAATATGATCCGTTCGTTGACGCATAAATCATCTCATCATCACTGGTTTCATCAATTAGCTCTATAATATGAAAAGTTTTACTGCTAAGATACAATTGTCATTTTTCTCCTAAAGTTCCAAGTATTTTGTTTTTGTTTTAGTTTTAGTTTTTGTCTTCATGTATGGAATGAAAACAAAATAGTATTATCCAATTTATCAAAAAGAGGAGTTTTACACATTTTGAAATGCATGGATCGATGAAGAAAAGTTGCGAGTAAAAGATCAAAGCCATTTTTATCATTTTTTATCAGAATTTTGATTATCTTTAAGATTAGTATGGTTTTTTTTCATGTAATTTGTAATGAGTAAGAATCACTACACATTTTTTCTTTTTCTGGAATGAACTCCAAACTCCAATGATATATTTTCTTTGGTTTCGTCTAATTCATCTCCAATGATATATTTTTTCTTCTAAGTAACTCTGAAAATTTCAATCTCCTCAAGGTTCATCTCTCTCTTTTAAACCCTCTATTAAATCAATAACACTTTTGAGTTACTAACCAATTCCTTCTAGTTCTCAAGAAAGCATGGAACAAATTTGGTGCAGGAAAAGATAACTAAGAAAGATGGTGTGAATCTTTTGTTTTTTAAACTAAAGATTAGATGGTTAATCTTTCTCTCGAACTTTTGGTATATTCTCAAACTTTTGGTTGAAAGAGATCGGACAACTCCTAGAAGGTCTGTTGTGTGAGGTGGGCGTAGTGGTTGATGGTAAACAACTACCAAAGCGGCTTGCATCCGTAGTGGAAGAGACTTTCCACTGCCGCTGCTGATCCTCTGAAGAAGCCGGTTACTGAAGTCATGGTGGTGGTTCCTGATTCACATGTTCCTATTCCTTCGAGATGGGAAAGTGTTTGGAATGTTCGGCGAAAAGACAGCTCAGGAGGCGAGATGATGGAAGAAAAAATATTATCTTCTTTGGTTTCCAAACTTTTGGTATATTGTCAACTTTTGGTTCTAATTTGAGAATTTGCAAACTTGTAAGCAAGAAGTATTCACAAAAGGTATTCTGATTTCAGCGCATGGAGGGCTAATTACAGCTACACGGTTAACAATCTAATGATGTAGATTTGGCTTACATAAACAAATGATCAATTTGTGATAATGAATACTTGTAGAAACATATGCAATCACACAAAAAAAAATGCATGTCATATCTTACAATGCAATTGACATGTAACGGCGTCGTTCATTAAACAAGAAATACAATCGTTGACATTGCCTCTCTCTCTATCCAAATCAGTTCACTGCCTTGCAAAAAATGAAAAACCCATAACAATTGCATTTGAAATTCGGATAAACCCTTTGGTCTGCTCTCATTCATGGCCGTCCTCTCTCTTTCTCTCCCTCTCATCGTCTCCTTCCTCCGCCCTCACGCTTCTCCTCGCTTCTTCCTCCTCCCTCGCTACCTTTCTCGACCTCCTTGCCGCCGATTTCACCGCCCCGCCGTTTCTGCCGTATCCTCCGGTGCTCACCATCACACTTCCTATCGTAATAAGCCCGATGATGACGATGGCAAAGCTGTCTCTGTTCCTACATTCCAACAAGCAATTCAACGCCTCCAGGTTTCTCACTCCTCTCCTTCTATTTCCCCTTCTTCTCTCCTTCAATTTCCCGGCGGCGAACTTTACAGTTTTTCTCTTCTTCTCTTGTGCTGTTTCAGGAGTATTGGGCTTCCGTCGGATGCGCCGTTATGCAACCTAGCAACACCGAGGTATGGTTATCACCCATTTCCACTATCTCTCTCAACCTCCACTGTTCTCGTATTTAAACTCCGCTCCGTGATCTTAAGGTCGGAGCTGGCACCATGAATCCGTCCACGTTTTTGAGGGTTCTTGGCCCTGAGCCCTGGAATGTTGCCTACGTAGAGCCGAGCATACGTCCTGACGACAGTCGCTATGGAGAGAATCCCAATCGGCTTCAAAGGCACACTCAGTTTCAGGTCATCTTAAAACCTGATCCCGGAAACTCTCAAGACCTCTTTATCAACAGTCTTTCTGCTTTAGGTACTCTATCATATTCATTCTTCTGAAAATGTGCCTCCACTTTTGAGATTTAGATACTCTTTCTGCTTACTAGTTCATATGTGGCCTTTGTAGGTATTGATGTGACTCAACACGATATACGGTTTGTGGAAGACAATTGGGAGAGCCCGGTAATGTGTGAGATTCATATATTCTCTTTTGGTTTCTTAATATGTTGCTAGACAGAGCTTTATCGTGACAGTGCCTGTTCATTTGAATGACTTAACAGGTGCTTGGTGCTTGGGGATTGGGCTGGGAGATTTGGATGGATGGAATGGAAATCACTCAGTTTACTTACTTTCAGCAGGTAATTTTCAGTTTATGTTAACATTTCTAAGAATCAAAATGTAGAAGTTCTTTAGTAAATGTTCTGCTAAAGTTGTTAGAAGACGCCGATTCTAAGCTTTGCTTCTTTCTAGGCTGGAAGTCTTCAGTTGTCTCCAGTATCTGTTGAAATAACTTATGGGCTTGAGCGCATCATCATGTTGCTTCAGGTCAGTCTTGTACTCCTTTTGTTACTTTCTATTGTTTTCGAGTAAGAATTCTCTTGTTGTTGATGTACACATTTTTACTTTAAGTTCTGTATGTTTGCCTTAAGTTAGCCTTTCGTTTTTAACTGATAGGAAGTTGACCATTTCAAAAAGATCTTGTATGCTGATGGAATCACTTACGGGGAGCTCTTCTTGGAAAATGAGTAAAGACTGATCTTCTTTTATGGATTTTTCATCGTACAGTTTCAAAATTATTCTTTGTAAATCTTGTTCTGAGACTGGCATTTGGGTGAGTTATTCAGGAAAGAGATGAGTTCATATTATTTAGAGCATGCTAGTGTGGATCGTCTTCAAAAACATTTTGATTTTTTTGATGAAGAAGCACGTTCCTTGCTTGCCTTAGGCCTTCCAATCCCTGCGTATGTTTATCACATTCTTATGGTCGTCCATTGTCTTCTTCATATTTAATCCACTGCCTCTTGAATTTAACAAAATTGCTTGGGGACATGCTAGGTATGACCAGCTTCTGAAGACATCTCACGCTTTCAACATCTTAGATGCTAGAGGTTTCGTTGGTGTAACTGAACGTGCTCGTTATTTCGGCCGAATGCGTAGGTAAGATCTGTTCAGTTTTCTGAGAGTGTTTAACCGGAGAGGAGATGTTTTGACAAGTCTTTACTTCTAAATATACTTATATAATGTGCATATTTTTGCTTCTGCGCATCCTCTTTGAAGAACAGCTTGGCTCGCCAATGTGCCCAGCTGTGGTTAAAGACACGTGAGTCTCTTGGACATCCTCTTGGTATTGCCTCCGAACAAATTCTTCCCATTTATCACGGAGCTGCTTTGGAAAATGATAAGGTTGGCCTGTTTTCTTATTTTAAAATTTTATAATCGGAGCTTTGATTCCTTTTAGATGAGTTGTGGATATCAGTTTGCGAAATATTTTAGTCGCCAATATCTTCAACAGTACTTGCTTGTATGGTTTATTTACGGCTAGAAAGCTGAATGTTTTGATTTATGAAAATATCACTGATGTATGGTTTCCTTTTCAACTGTCACAGGTTCCTGAGGATCCGAGATCGTTTATCATTGAGATAGGGACTGAAGAGATGCCACCTCAAGATGTTATCAATGCTAGCGAACAGGTAAACTTCCATTTCATTTTGAGAATCTTGAAATTTCTCTTTCTACACTCACTCACTCATGGACACTTTTGTGGGCCGCTCATGCTGCAACATTTTAACTTCTCAAACTCCCTAGTTGATTTTTCCCTGTGCTTCCTGTTTGGCCTTTTGTGTTATGTTCTTTTGATAGTTTGGACGTCAAGTAACAGTCCTTGTTAATGTTGCAGCTCAGGGTTTTAGTGCTGCAGTTACTAGAGAACCAAAGATTGCGGCATGGCGCCGTGAAAGCATTTGGCACACCTCGCAGGCTAGTGGTAATGAATAAGATCTTTTGACTTTTACATATTATTGCTAATATGTCAACTCTATAACATCATGAACCCAATCTTACAGCGAAGGGATTGATTGACACCAAATCTTCCTGTTTATTCTTTGGCAGTATTGTCCACTTTTCAAATTTTGGCTTATGAGGCTGATTTAAACCTGGCTTATGTAAAAATTAAAGAAACGTATCTGAAGATTTAGGGATGTGGGTTATTGAGTTGAATCATACAGTTTAAAGTAGTTTAAAGTGAAGGACCCCTTTTCAGGTTTTAGTTGATGCTATGTCCTCTAAGCAGCTGGAAGAGGAAGTTGAAGTTCGAGGACCCCCTGCTTCTAAAGCGTTTGATGCTCAAGGAATTCCTACAAAGGTCTGTATTAGTTAATGAAAGTATTTTTGGTACGGTGGTGGAATTTAAGGAAAATGCATATGGATCATATATATCTGTTGGCCCTGAGGTTATGTACTATGCTTGTTCTTTTCCTTTTAGTGTGCATTGACTGCCTAAAATTATGTAGATCTAAATTTCCTGTTGTTCTTCCCTGCCAGGCTGCAGATGGTTTTAGCCGT